CGTCCTGTAACGTCGGAAAGCCCAAAAGACAACTTTGTTGAACATGTACGTTTTACGAAGGGAATGGGCCAACTTTTGCGTCTAGGGGCCCTCTTGGGACGCATGTTGGAGGCTTCTTGGGGCCTCTTGGGGGCGTCCTTGGACGTCTGGGGTCTCCTGGGGCCTCTTGAGGGGCCTCCTGGGGGCCTCCTGGCGGCCTCTTGGGGCGGAAGGCTCGAGCTTGCGGTTCGTGGTCCCCCTCTGGGCCCCCTCTTGGGCCCGTCTTGGGGCCCTCTTGGGCCATCTTGGGCGCCTCTTGGGCCGTCTTGGGGCCCTCTTGGGCTGTCCTGGGGCCCTCTTGGAAGCTTCTTGGGCCGTCTTGGGGCGGTCTTGGGCGCCTCTTGGGCCGTCCTGTAACGTCGGAAAGCCCAAAAGACAACTTTGTTGAAAATGTACGTTTTACGAAGGGAATGGGCCAATTTTGCGTCTAGGGGCCCTCTTGGGACGCATGTTGGAGGCTTCTTGGGGCCTCTTGGGGGCGTCCTTGGACGTCTGGGGTCTCCTGGGGCCTCTTGAGGGGCCTCCTGGGGGCCTCCTGGCGGCCTCTTGGGGCGGAAGGCTCGAGCTTGCGGTTCGTGGTCCCCCTCTGGGCCCCCTCTTGGGCCCGTCTTGGGGCCCTCTTGGGCCATCTTGGGCGCCTCTTGGGCCGTCTTGGGGCCCTCTTGGGCTGTCCTGGGGCCCTCTGGGAAGCTTCTTGGGCCGTCTTGGGGCGGTCTTGGGCGCCTCTTGGGCCGTCCTGTAACGTCGGAAAGCCCAAAAGACAACTTTGTTGAAAATGTACGTTTTACGAAGGGAATGGGCAAATTTTTGCGTCTAGGGGCCCTCTTGGGACGCATGTTGGAGGCTTCTTGGGGCCTCTTGGGGGCGTCCTTGGACGTCTGGAGGCCATCTTCAGCATCTCGGAGCCCTCTTGGAGGCCTCTTGGAAGTTTCTTGGGCCGTCTTGGGCGCTCCTGGGGCCGTCTTGTCTGACAGGGGAGGCCTCCGGCAAGCCCCGACGAGCCTCCGGGCCCCCCGGGGCGCACATTTGTGGTCGAGGTCCCGGCCCCGGGCCCCCGGACCCGGTGCGCCGTTATATGTATACTTGTTGCAGTAGTCGCTCTAAGCGTAAAGTTCGTAACACTAGTCGTGATAGGTGTAATATTGGTACTCGTCGTTGCACTTATGAGAATACTCGTACTATGAATCGTAGCTTCATAAGATCAGCAAGCGTGGGAATCACAATGCCAGTATTCGGGGCACAAGTAGTCACAGAAGTCGTACGAATCATTAGTAAAAAATCGCAGTCAGTCGCTGTCGCAGAAAATGTGAAAGCGAAGATAAGCGTAAACACAGTACTGGTGATAGTCGTAGTAGTAGTAGTAGTAGTAGTAGTAGTAGTAGTAGTAGTATTAGTAGTAGAAATAGAAGTTGTAGCAGTACTGACATTATAAGAGTGGTCGTAGTAGTAGAAGTTGTGGTAGTAGTAGTAGTAGTAGTAGTAGTAGTAGTAGTAGTAGTAGTGGTGGTAGTAGTAGTAGTAGCAGTAATAATAATAATAGTGGTAGTAGTAGTAGTCGTAGTAGTAGTAGTAGTAGTAGTAGTAGTAGTCGTCTCAATACTAGTAGTAGTGGTAGTAGTAGTAGTAGTAGTAGTAGTAGTAGTAGTAATAGTAATACTAGTAGTCGTGGTATTGGTGGTATTAATATGATCATTAGTAGTAGTCGTCGTCGTAGGTGGCGAAGTAGTAGTAGGAGTAATAGTGGTAGTAATACTAGTAGTAGTAGTAGTAGTAGTAGTAGTAGTAGTCGTAGTAGCAGTAGTAGTAGTAGTAGTAATAGTAGTAGTAGTAGTAGTAGTAGTAGTAGTAGTAGTAGTGGTGGTATAGTAGTACTAGCCGTAGTGGTACTACCAGTAGTGGCCGTAGTGGTCGCAGTAATGCGAACAAGAAGAATAATAAGAGTAATAACCGTACTAACAATTAGATAGCATCTTCGATTCGCAACTTTTCCCGCGATAGTGGAATTCGGCCTCGCCGCCCTTCTATACTGACCAACTCTGTCTCGGCCAAAGAAATTCAACACTAGAGGGTTAAGAGGGTGGGTGCTTTCTGACCGGGGGCACGGAGCTAGGGAACCCGCCGAACCCGCCGACCCTGCAACCGAGCACACCGCAAATCATGGGTGCGCCGAAGCTTGCCCTACAAAGGGGGACCCCCCCGCCAAGTGCCCGATCTGCCGCCCGGGCCGCCCTCTGACCCACATTCGGATCCATCGTCCAGTTAGACGAGCCAAGACGAGGATAAAATAGGGTGAGGATCAATCGAGACTCTCTGAAGTCCGGCGGCTATGGAGGATGTCTCGAGCGCTGCGCTTCTGGAACGCTCTGAGAGCAATATGGGCCGCTCTGGAACGGACCATCCTCGTCCTAGCCCCGTCCGGTTCCGGACCGTCCCGCCCCCCTGTGCACTTGGGGGTGTTGAGCCCTCCCGACCTCCGCACCGTCCGGGCTTGCACCGCCCCCCAAGCCTTTCACACATCGGTCCTCGCGCTAATGCCGCAATCCTATCACCGTAGCTCTCTGACCCAGCCCCGACCCCAGGCGCTAACCCTAAGCAGTAGCCCTACCCCTGATACCCAAATCCTATCATCTAAACCCACACACCCTGGACCGAACACTCTGAAACAACATAAATGTCCTAACTCTGTTAATTCCTATGGCCAGCCAGGACAAATCCCCCCGGGTCTAAACCCAACTCTGGACCCTGACCCCAACACCCTAAACCTGAGCACTTGCCAAAACAACGCAAACCATGATACAATAACTCCTACTTCACGGAATCCTAACACCCAAAACTCCACCCCTCACACTGAACACTACACCTAGCATTGGCACCCTAGCCTAACACTGAGGCCCCAACGATACAGCCTAACCCTACGCACTGACGCCAAACCCCTTCCCCTAACCTCCGATCCCTAACCCTGAGTCCTAACCCCAACACCATAAATCCTGACCCCCTGAGCCTAACGCCCTAACGAACCTGCCCCCATTCTGAACCCTAAGCGTTAGACCTTGCCCGGGTCTGGTTTTTAAGGCGCCTTTTTTTGTAACTGGGGGGGTCCGGTTTATCTGGGCGCCTTCTTTGGATTGGAGCTTAGGGGGTCCGGTTTGTTCAGGCGCCCCGTCGAAGAGGGGGGTCCATGACAGTAGGTCGCATTTGGAGGGTGGTCCGATTTTTTTGGGGGGGGGCGATTGATAAGGGATTTGGCGTAGCCTTTGTGGGCCCCGAAAACGGCAGGGCCGATTTTTCACCGTTTCCCAAGAAATGTCCATTGAAAATGGAGACGGCAAAAAAACGGCGACCGGAAACGGCAAAAAAAAAGCTCCAAGATCGGAACTGGAGCCGGAACCGGTCAAAAAACGGCGACGGAACTGGTAAAAGAACGGCTTCGGAACCGGCAAACAAGAAGCAAAACGGAACCGGTAAAACAATGGCCTTGTCGTTTCCAGGGCGCCCCATTCCTGAACTTTTGACACCCCCTCCCCACGCCCCGTTCCCTCCCGGAAAACCCGACCCGTCCACCCCCCCCCCCATCCGACGCCAGAGATAAGCAGCCAGCTCGCCGACGCCCTCTGGAAAGAGGGAGGGGAGGCGGGGTGAGGTGGGGGAGTGGGGGAGGGGTCGGGCGTGTCCCCTCCCACAGGGGGATGTCGAACGACAAGTGAAACATACACAGGGAAGACCCCCCAAATGCCAGAACCCAGCCACCAAAATCGTTCCCAGACTATCTGTTTGATTATTTTTGAATATTCCCCCTGTAGAGGGACAGGCCCGACTTAAGGGAAGGGGATTCTGTGAAGGCCCCGCCACCTTTTGAATCACTGGGTCCTCCACCGACGCTGTCGTGCAAGTTTGATCGACAAGCTGCAATCACAGACCGATCCGACAGCTACGTGGCAACCTCCTCCTGCTGCTCTTCCTCCGCCCTCGCCAGCCCTCCCCCCCCCCGCAGACTGCAACGGCGCGACGGCGATGCCCAATCAGCAACGTGTGCAACGATGTGCAGCTCAGGACTGCCCATGGGCATGCCATGCGCCCCAGAAACACAAAACACCCCCTGCATCCAGCCGCCCGATACACTGCCCGATCGTGTCCTGGCCCAGCCCGCTGATCCATCCCCCACTTCTGGGCACCCTGCTGCTCGGGCACACGGTCGACCACCCCCATCTTGATCGACAACCAGGTCGGCCGGAGCACGAGAGCATTGTGTAATTCGCGACCATAACGGCGTCATGGGGGGGAGTGGGGGGGGGGAGGGGGCGTAGCGCACCCCCCCACCCCCCAGACTGTGGTGCCGGACGCACTGCGGCAGTGCCGGGTACGCACTGAGGGGGGTAACGTTACGTTTGAGGGGGAATGGGGGGTGGGTGGGGGGGAGAGGGGGGGTATAACGCGCGTTATGGCCAAGAGGGTAAAAAAAAACGCGCTCACGTGGCATGATCGTGCCCAGGTTTGGGGATCAAGATCTTCTGACAGGAGCACAGAACAACTGCACGCATATACGCAATTTCTCGGACTGTTGTGTGCCGATCAGGGGACCACGAAAAACATGTCGAGATTAGCCTGAAATGTCGTGGCAAGAACATGTCGAGATTAGCCTGTGGCGGCAATCGCTTGCGGACCACTTGTAGAGTCCCAAATCCGGATAGCGGAGCGCCGGAAAGGCCTTCCAGAAGCCTTGGGAGACAACTCTGGAAGCTCCTTGAAGGAGCTTCCGGAGGAGCTTCTGGAGAACTTCCAGGCACTTGGGAAACGCTTCGAGAAGGCCAGCCTTAACACGCTGCGGGCTCACAAGAGGCGCAAAGGGGATTCCTGCCGGAAGCCGGAACGAGCTCCAGGGCTACCCTGCCGTGTCGGCATCTATACTCTGAAGCCCTCTAGCAGACCACACGAATGCAAAAAAACGGAGTAAAAGGGAAGGCCTTGTGCAAGATAATCGGCAGAGAGTCCTTCCTCTCGCAGGCGAACGTCCTGCCCGCGGTCTGCGGGGAGGAAGAGGCCCGCGGTCTTCGGGGAAGATGGGAGGAGGAGCAGGGGGAACAGGAGGAGGAGGAGGAGGAGGATGAGGAGGAGGAGGAGGAGGAGGAGGAGGAGGAGGAGTAAGAAGGGGGAGAAGGAGGAGGAGGAGGAGGAGGAGGAGGAGGAGGAGGAGGACGTCCAGGAAGGCGCGGGAGGAGGAGGAGGAGGGGGAAGAGGAGGAGGAGGAGGAGGAGGAGCAGGAGGAGGAGGAGGAAAAGGTGGAGAAGGGGGACATTCAGGAAGGCGTGCCGCCGCCCCCTGCGCTCTGCCCCACGCAGCGAAACCCTCCACATGCAAGCTTGGGCGATGGCTGCCGCGCTCTGGAAACAGGGGGTCGCCGCTGGATCGGCTTGGCTCTTCTCCAATGGCCGAATCAGGAAACCCTGAAGCCAAACACGTGATGTGTTTTTTATCTCTCTCTCGGGGGCGCATCTCTCACTTCCGTCACCTTCCGCCGCCCTTCCGCCAGCCTCCGCCGGCGAAGGCGGCCTCGTTTTTCTTCCGCCGACCTTCCGCCGCCCTTTCGCCGACTTCCACAACGCAAAAAACAACAAACTCCTTCCACCCTCGAAGGGAAGGCCCTTTTCCGAGCGCCCCACCAAGATGCCCTGGGCGTTGTTGTTGATTGTTTTGTTGTACTCGGCTTGTTGGAATTCATGTTTTTAGAGTTCTGGGGTCCAACAAGAAGAGACACAAAGGCAAAACAAACAAACCTTTTCTTTTTTGCGTTTTGAGCTCCGTTGCGTTCGAGCGTCTCAAATCGGGAGGCTGCGCTGTTTCACATTGCCGTCTGCCACGTCCTCAGGTCCTTCGCCTTGCGTCCGGTCCTCCTTGCATTTCATATATACACTCGTGTTGCTCTTCTCTGGCCCTGTCGTCGCTGCTGGCTGGTCGCGGGGCCTCCGGGCCTGTTCCGCGCCGGTGTTAGACCAGTGTGGGGGAGCTGTTTGTACGTTTTCAGCTCGGCCCTCTGTGCGCGGAGCGGGAGTGGCGGGAGGCGGCAGGAGCAGGAGAGCGGGAGCTGGGACGGCAGTGAGGACAAGGAGCAGCCTTTGCTCAAGAATGAAGGTTCACAACGCGGGGCCTGAAAACGCTGAAGCAACACACGCAATTAGAAAACGCTAACCAAACGTAGCGTTGCTTTAGTGTCTACAAAGCTCGCCAATATCCCAAAGTGCAAGACGGTATACAAGAAAGAACGCCCCAGGCCGCTCTTAGGGATAACTAAACGGGTCGGGCAGCACACATCGTGCCCCTCGTCCTTCACGGTCCTGGTCCTCCTCCACCCTCACATCTTCCTTCACCTCAACGCCTTGCTTGTCCACCCCATCCCCATCATTGAACGACTAGCAACACACATGATGCGCGCACGATGAATATATATTGAACCCTTGACATTCATCACGACTGGGCCAACTCCGAATGTCAATGTCGGCACGGTAGTGCCACACATATGTTCAAACGAGTCCTCTCGTAAGCTAGCAGCACATGTGGCATGCGAACCCATGGCCTAGAATCTGTCGAACATCTGTACGGGGCTCCGAACCTGGAGCGTTCGGAGGAAATCTAATCAGCTGTACAGCGACACGTTCTGCGCAAATAATTCGTTGCAAACTGCACTACGTCTGAGCACATCGAATTCGTAGATCATTCGATCGGGGAACATGTGTTCCTTCTTGTGACACATCGAGCGCCTTAAACCACTGAGCGTCTGTGGCTAGCGTTGAATCGGACTTCATCGAAGATGCGGGACGCTTCAATATCCAACTGATGCACATACTCGGCCAAAGACTGCTCCAACACGGCCACGTCGCGCTCGTAGATCCCCACGAGAGCCTTGACCTTCCCGAGCTGCTGATCGAGCACACGTTCGCAATTCATAATGTTCTTTATGTTCTGCTGGATATCGTTTCCTACACTGAGGCCAGTCAGCATGGCACCAAATCCAGCACCGATGTCGAACATCCCCCCAGCCTGCCAGAGGTCTCAATGCCCACAGAGGCCAGAAAGGGGAAGTGAGACGGGATGGGGATACGTACGAAGATGATGATGTAGGGTGAGGTCAGCTAACTGGCTGCACGTGCACCGATGCCGGCAAGGTCCATCCAGAATCCAGGGAGACCAGAGCAGTAGCAATATGATTAGTATTCATAAGACACCCTAACCCTTTGGGAGGGACCTAAGTTAGAAGGGCCAGAAATATTGGGGATAGGGCGATGTTGCTCCCATCGTACTCAAGGACTACTTCCCATAATTAATTTCGAGCACACACACAAGTATCGAACAAGTGTCGAACGAGTGTCGCCTCGCAGGGCTAGACACGTGAAAACCCTCAGTTTCTGTACTTCCTTGGTGCTCAAAGCTCGATCTGGTGAACAGGACTAAAGCAGGTTGGAACATCATGGAGATCGGGGTCTTCTCTGCAGGTGCACCACACCATACCGCCCACACAGACACACACATATATATATATATATATATGTGTGTATGTATATACACACATATACATATCGGATCCCTCGAGCATCGACAGAGACCTCAGTGAGGCCACGCCTTCAGGTTTTTATTCGGGATAAGGGTTCTTTTGTTCTCGTTGACGAGGATAAAACTTGAAAAACTGCATAGACATAAATGTTCGACGGCTCGCGCGGATTTTTTTGATCTGCGCTGGACCCCCCTCACTGGCGCGCGGAGCGCGCCATGGGCGGCGCCCGAGGCGCCGCCGGGGGAGCCCAGCGCGAATCCACGAAATCGGTGCGGAGCGCCAAAGGTTTATGATTATGGAGTTTTCCCATTTCTATCCTCATCACCGAGAACAAAAGAACCCCTATCCCTGATAACATGGTGAAGGCGTGGCCTCACTGAGGTCTCCGTCTTTGCACGAGGGATCCTCTCTCTATATATATATATATATATGTATAGATACACATACATATCTAGACATATTAGCTCACAAAATCAGGACCAGCTGTTCATCCTGAGTCGTTTTCTGACGGTCCCGGGGCCTGGACAAGGGCCCCGGGGCCTGGACAAGGCCACCGCCCCCCGAGAAGACTCTGGGCGGGGTGGGGGCGTAATCGGGCCGGGCGAAAGGGTGGGATAGCACAGGGGGGGGGGGGAGAATCAGCTCGCGCAGCTGATTTTCCCGGCGCCTCCCGGCGCCAGAGGCGGACGTGTGTATCGAGGAAGGGGCCCCTCGGTGGGGCCGAAACCAGCTGCACGCAGCAGATGTCGTACCCCGCCCCCTTTCCCAATCCCCCCCGTTCCTCCGGCCCGAGGTCAGGGGGGGCCCTGGGCGGTGGCGCGCCCGACCGTCACCCAGTGCCGGACGACGCTCAGGCGTGCCACCGCCCAGAGGTCGGACCCCCTTCCAATCCGAGGGGGGGGGGGACAAGAGAAGACACCGACATCGCTGAGATCCGCCGACCTCTCCAGGGGCGCGCTCTGGCCAGGACTCCGAGGCGAGTCCACCCAACAGTGGCGGTGTCGGCACCTGTTCGTTCCGTGAGGGCTCCCGGTGGCGAAAGACTCGACACTCGACCAGGGTAGTGAGGATGCGCGGCAAGGATGCAGAGGCCTCGGAATGCCATGTTGACGTTTCCCGTGCGGAGCGCAGCATGATGCCGAAGGATGCCGAATACCGAAGGGACAAGGATGCGAGGGCAGCCTTGGAAAACTGCCCCATCCTTTCTATCGTGGTTGACTCTACTTCTCGTCCGGGAGGACCCGACATGGACCCGACATGGAGGAACAGCTGCCACCACTGCCACAACTCAATGCCTGAGGCCCGCGCGGGCTTCTCTTGGATCGGCGCCGCAGCCCCCGCCCCTGGCGCGAGGGCCTCGCGCCAGGGGCCCAGCGCCGGTCCAAGAAACATGCGCGCGGAGCTCTGCGGGATGAGGTGTCTGCAGTCTCGGCCTCTTCTCACCAACCTCGAACACATCTCGGCTGCACGCAAGCTGTGACCCTGGGTAAGAGGTGACCTTCGGTGCGCGGCTTTTTGGGGGGCCGCGGGGTGGCCAAACACAGGCGCGCAAGACGCTGCTGGCGCATCGCGTTCGGCGATCGGGGAACCCCAATGTGCCCGCACCAAAGGTCACTCCAGCGAAGGGTCACTCTTACGTCTAGTCGAACATCCCTGTCCCCCCGAGGTCGGCAAGCCCCAGGGCGATGGCAAGAGTGGGGAATGTGCCCTCACAAGACCTGAGGGGGGCCCTTCCGATCTCGGCACCGAGTGTGAAAGTGGCGCCGAACAGAGGCTCTAGGAATGGACGGGCTCCAGGAACCCTGAACCCCAGAAATGCTGTCATCTCCTGGAGGGCGTCCTTCCACTGCCGCTGGCTTCCACCGACCTTTCCCGCGGGCTCCCGCGGGCTGCCGCCGCCCCGTTTGACTGCGTTTCCTTCCGATGGACTTCCGGCGCCCTCCGCCGAGGCAGCGGTGGCAACCTGATCGATCCTGGAGGGCGAGGCCCTCTCCGCAGCGCCTCGGCTTCAGGGGTGGGACCCCATTGACATCGGCACCGAGGTCGGGTGATGCCACAGATAGGCATCGAGATGAGGATAGGCTCGCCAACACGTGGGCCATGACACATGCCCGGCCAACGCGCAGCGTGCTCACACGGACGTGCTGAGCACGGCACGGGTTTGCGTTTCAACACGAGCGTAGGAGTCGAAGGAGAACAAACGCAATAAACAGAAATGTTCGGAGCCCCGCGCGGATTTCCTGGATCTGCGCTGGACCCTCTCCCTGGCGCGCGGAGGCGCCGCCGCGGGAGCCTCAGCGAGAGATCGGACGGGGCAGCTGAGATCCCAGACGTCAGGGCAGCTGAGATCCCAGACATCCGACGTCTCCGCTTTTCCGACACGCTGGCCCCCGACTTGGGCGTGGCTTAATAGGGGGGTCACAAATGGGGGGGTCAGAAAAGGTCCCCTTTCGTGCCCCTTTCGGGCCCCTCCAGAGCCCGAGGGGGCTCGTTTAGGTACCGTTTGGGTACCTTTTCGGACCACCCTCGCCGCCCCCCCATTTATGACCCCCCCATTACGCAACGCCCAACCGACCTCCCGACCACTCCCCCCCGGGGCCGGTTCTTCATCCCGAGATGGTTCTTGACCGTCCTGGGGCGCGGCGAGGGCCCCGAGGGGCAGAACACGACGAAAGCACTCCGCCTCGATGTTTTCGAGACGCCCGCTGTCTGGGATAGGGACATGCTTCAAGCTCTGCTTGTTCGGAGACGGCAGCGGGAGGAGGAGGAGGAGGAGGAGGAGGAGGAGGAGGAGGAGGAGGAGGAGGAGCGAGGAGGAGGAGCGAGGAGGAGGAGAGGAGGAGGAGGATGAGGAGGAGGAGGAGGAGGAGGAGGGAGGGAGGAGCACTTCGGCGCTGCAGGGCCTGCCAGCAGCCCTGCCCCGCGGGCCCCCCGAGGGCGCCGGGCCCCCCCGCCCTGGCCGCGAGGCCGGGCTGCACCTGGCACACCGCCGCCGGGATCACCGAGAATGCCTGCGACAGGGGACATGTCCACCCCCTCTCTCTGGCTTCGGGAGGTTTTCGGGTGGACCAAAACTCTGGGGCCCCACCCTGGGATACACGAGGGGGGGGGGCGTCCATCCTCGAGCTTGGGTGCGTCCGAGTGGTTCCCGGAGGGTGTATCGGCCCCCGCCCATCCCGGAGGGGGGGGAGGAGGAGGAGGGAAGGAGGGGAGAGGAGGGAGGCAGGAGGGAAGAGGAGGGAGGGAGGGAGGGAGGGAGGGAGGGGAGGGGAGGAGGGAGGGCGAAACAAAATTGGAGAAAGAAGGACCGAAGACCGCTTCGCCGGTGGGCCGCCCCGCCAAAGAGCACCGCTTCGCCGGCGGGCCTTCTGCGCGGGCGGGCCGCCTCGCCGGAGAACCGCCCCCCGCGACCGGACCGCACGTTTTGTGGAAAAAGGCGGGGGCTGTGATGGAAACATCACTTGCGAGCCTAGGCCGGGGGCGTCCAGGATCGGCGGCGAGCGAAGGGGGGGGGAATCCAGGCAGACCCGGACCCCCTCGGGTCAGGAGCGGCCACCGCGGCGAAGAGCGCTGCGCTAGGTTCTGCCTCCGGGGGCCCTCGCTGGGCCTCGGGGCCGTCAAGAGTCGACGCAGGATAAGAAGCGGGTTCCAGGGAGTCTGTCGAGACCTTTGGGGGCTCACAGCAAATGGGGTCGGAGCAGACGGGCGGCGCGCCCGGGGGCGAGACGAGAAGGAGAAGGCCCTCTCAGAAGGCTCGGAAGTCCCACCAGGCCTTCCCAGAACACGCTGGAAAACTTCTCAGGAGGCCGGAGCACTTCTGAGAAGCCCCGCCGCCTCCTGAGAAGGCCCTCTCCTTCTCACTCCCCCCCCCCCCCCTCGCTCTCCGCCGACCAGAGGGTGATGTAGAAACTTTTCGTGTCGGGGCGCGGGGGTTGAGAAGATACAGGGCATGACTGTGCAATGAACGGACGATCTGAGAATTCCTCGCATCCCCATCCTCCGAACCCGGCAGCAGTCTTTCTGAGAGGGGGGCGTCCAAGAAGGGGGGTTCGCACATCATGGCCGGAGGCATGTGCGCGGACGAGGGGGTGGGGTAGGGAACGTAGCGAAAGAAGAGGACGAAGGGGCCATGAAAGATGGAAGATCTCGTGGTCCCCACCACGATATCAACCCACCCACCCTAGGCCCTAGTCATCACCCCCCTCTTTGCCGACACTGACTGGGGTGAGCACCCGAAGCACTTGGTGGAAGATGCCCAGACCTCCTCTGGCCTCAAGGTTCCAGGGTAAGAAGCGTATTTCGCCCTGTCTGGAACACCCTGAAGCTTCTCGTCGCTACGACTGGCTCCGCCTCGAAACTCTCCTCACAATCCACTTCAGAATGAGGCTGGGGATGATCGACCGCTGCTCCTCGGTTGCGACACAACCGTCCTCGCCTCGAGCAATAATGCGGCCAAACATTGTCTACATCCTCGGCTCCGGGGGCCCTCGCCAGACCCACGGGGCCGTCCGGCAACGACTCGGGACGAAAAAGCGGGTCCAGGGAAGGGGTGAAACATGACGAGGGAGGAAGGAGGAGATATAATATCAAATAAGAGGGGCGGGAGGAGAGGATGGAGGGAAGTGAGGCATGGGAGAAGGGGGCACGAGCGGTCAGCCACAATGCCAATGCACATCGAATACATCGAATCGTAACGTGCATCGAACCAAATCATAACGTGCATCGAATCGAGCCACATCGGAATCCGGTCGAAACGGCCGGGCCAGGGAGCGCGACTGCGCCATGCAGGCAGTTGGCCACATCGGATCGTCCGAACATCGGACTCGGATCGGATCGGGCCTTCTGAAATCGACATCGAGTTCGACCAAACAAATCGACATGTATTCTGCGGAGGGAGATAGCCAGCTGGAGATCGCAGGTGCTGGACACCTTCTGACAATAAGCCCTGGTCCAGCGCGTATAAGTCTAAGAGTGTGTGTGTGTGTGTGTGTGTGTGTGCGTGCGTGTTGTAAGCAAATTCGCCTGGTATTTCTTGCCAAGCGGTCCGCTACGCCCTTCTCTCTCTCTCTCTCCCCCTATTTCTGTCTCTCTCTCTCTCTCTTTCTCTCTCCCTCTCTCTCTTTCTAAAAATATGTATACCCATACGACCACCCTTCGGGTGATAAGGAGGTTGAGGGGGGAGGGGGGGAACCAACATCTGACTCAATCGATCTCACTATCCATTTCACATGTTTGGGACACAACGGGACACCTCGGGACACCACGGGACAATTGTCGATCTCACGATCGATCTCACTATCAATCTCACTCAACGGGACACCACGGAACACCACGGGCCACCACGGGACACCACGGGACACCTCTCGAGATCTGACTATCGATCTCACTCAACGGAATACCATAGGCCACCACGGGACACCACGGGACACCACATCGATCTCTCTATCGATCGCACGATCGACCTCACTCAACGGGACACCACGGGACACCACGGGGCACCTCTGGGCACCACATCGATCTGAATATCGATCTCACTACCGGTCTCACTTTTTGGAACACCACGGGACACCTCGGGGCACCACATCGATCTCAACATCGATCTCACTATCGACCACACTATCGATATCACTCGACGGGACATCACGGGACACCACGGGACACCTGTCGATCTCACTATCGATCTCACTATCGATCTCATGTTTTGGGACACAACGGGACAACTCGGGACACCTCATCGATCTCGGTATCGATCTCAATATCGATCTCACACTCGATCTCACTATTGATCTCACTGTCGATCTCACTCAACGGGATACCACGGACCACCACGGGACACCACATGACGCCGCGGGACACCGTGAGCCCCCGCCCGACAGACGGACGGACGGGCGGGCAGGGGAGAATCATTTGTCTTGACTTCGCCCTAGCAACGGCGGACACCACGGGACACCGCGGGACACCGCGGGACACCAAAGGCCACCGCCGGACGGGCGTGAGGGGGAGAATGATTTGTCTTGACTTCCCCCTAGCAACGGCGGGTTCACTCCTCTCGAACGCCCACGCAGCTTCGCCTCGCCCGCACGCACGACACGAACGACACGAAACGACTTCCCGGTTGGGGGTCTCCGTTCCACTGCGATCAAACCCAACCAGTAGATCGTTTCGTTTCGTTCGTGTCGTGCATGCGGGCGCGGCGAAGCTGCGTGGGCGCGCGAGAGGAATGAACCCGCCGTTGCTAGAAATAAGTCGAAACAAATGATGCTCCTCCGCCTTCCGTCCGTCCGGCGATGGCCCGCGGTGTCCCGTGGTGTCCCGTGGGGTCCCGATGAATGAAATCGATAGTGAGGTCGATCGCAGGATCGACAGTGAGATCGATACTGAGAGCGATGTGGTGGCCCGAGGTGTCCCGTGGTGTCCCGTGGTGCCCCAAAAAGTGAGATCGATCGTGAGATGGATACTGAGTTCGACGTGGTGCCCCGAGGTGTCCCGTTGTGTTAAAAAATGGTATCGTTAGCGTGATCGATAGAAAGATCGACTGGTGGCCCGTTGAGTGAGATCGATCGTGAGGTCGATACTGAGATCGATGTGGTGTCCCGTGGTGTCCCCAAAAATGGAATCGATGGTGAGATCGATAGTGAGATCAACAGGTTTCCCGTGGTGTCCCGTTGAATGAAATCGATAGTGAGATCGATCGCGGGATCGACAGTGAGATCGATACTGAGAGTGATGTGGTGCCCCGAGGTGTCCCGTGGTGTCCCAAAAAGGTGATATCGATATTGAGATCGATAATGATAATGATCTCGACAGGTGTCCCGTGGTGTCCCGTTGAGTGAAAACGATCGTGAGATCGATCGTGAGGTCGATACTGAGTTCGCTGTGGTGCCCCGAGGTGTCCTAAAAAAAGTGAAATCGATAGTGAGATCCACAGGTGTCCCGAGGTGTCCCGTTGAGTGAGATCGATACTGAGATCGATGAGGTGCCCCGAGGTGCCCCGTGGTGTCCTACAAAGTGAGGTCGATAGTGAGATCGATAGTGAGATCGAGAAGTGACCCGGGGTATCCCGTGGTGTCCCGTGGTGTTCCGTGGTGTCCTAAAAAAAGAGATCGATAAAGAGATCGATAATGAGGTCGAGAGGTGTCCCGTGGTCTCCCGTGGTGTCCCGTGGTGTCCCGTTGAGTGAGATCGATAGTGAGATCGTTTGAATCAGATGTTGGTTCCCCCCCCTCTCCCCCCCAACAACCTCCTTATCACCCGAAGGGTTGTCGTATGGGTATGTATCCTCTGTATCTGGCTGCAGTCCCTGTTAAGCTCCCACAATGTGTGGTCCCTTTAGTTTGAAAATGTGCCACCTTCGTATTTTGGGGGCTGTTGACTCCATCCAATCCGCGCAAAAACGTGCGTGCGTGCGTGCGTGCGTGTGTGTGTGTGTGTATGTATGTGTATGGTTGTCTTCTACGCCGCGACGCCGCGCGCGAGGCCGCGACGCAACACCATAAGTGTACCTATGTGTGTATGTGCGCTCGCTTCTCTGTCAGAGTCTTTATCGTTTCTGTTCGGTGGGCCATATAGACTTGCAGTTCGCTTCGTGGTGACTTGGGCCCCTCCTCCTCCTCTTCCTCGTCCCCCTCCTCTCGTCCCCCATCTTCCTTCCCTCCTCCTTGCTCCCCTCATGCCAGCCTTTCTTGGAGTCACGCGCGCTTCTTGGAGGAGCCGCTTTGCCTACACACTAGCCGCACCTTGCGTTTCATCCCACGCCGTGCCCGGGGTCGGAAAGAACTGTCGCCCGGCGCTGGGCGGGCGGGGAGGAAGGCGGGTGCGCTCCCCGCGGGACCTTCCGCGCGCGCCGTGCGATCGAGGCCCGGCGTCCGCGCTCAGCGCTGTCTTCATTTGTCGGAGGGGCAGCGGGAACTGGAGGAGCATACAACAAGGGTCCAGGGGCCCAGGGACACACAGCCAAACAGAAACAGGTCCGAGGATTTCCAACGCTTTCTTCCAGATCTTCTCGGGGTGTTCGTCTTCCCCCCAGCTCCCATGTTTTCTAACTATTTCCTGGGAGTCGACGATTGATTCCCCAACCAGTGCTTGTACAGAAGGGGTCCTAGCGGAAATTGGAAGATTTGGCGAACATGTCCCATCGATTTTGGTGGCCGGCTGGGTTCCCGGATTCCCGGGTTCCTGGTTATTGGTTATTGGTGCGGAGCCGATTTCGGTGGGTTCCGGACTCCCGGTTTCGCAGGCCTAGAGGTTAACACCAACACCAATTTCGGCGGTGTGCCTCCACCGAGGGAAGAAGATCTCGATCTCGGTGATGGTGGTAAGATTCTGGCTTCCAAGGTGGCCGAAATTTTACCACCAACGCCAAAATCTAGGATCACCTTCCCCCGGTGGAGGCAACCCCACTGTGTTGGTGTTGGTGCCCATCTCCAGGCCTTTAATGATTGGGTGTTTCTCTGGTGTCAGTGTGTTTTTGTTCTCCCCCCTCCTCAAAAAAAAATCTTCAGGAGGACCGCGTGGACTTCTCGGGTCGGCGGTGCCCCCCCCCCCCTGCCCGGCGATACCCATCGGTCGGAAGAAGTAGGTAGGCACATGAAGTAGGAAGGCGCTGAAAGTAGATTGGGCTTCCGCCCGCCCCCTGAAGAGGAGGGAAGAAGGAACTCAGTCGATCCTTGAAGTAGGAAGGCGCCCGAAGTAGATTGGCATCTGGAAATCCAAAAAATACCTACTTTCAGCGACCGATGGGTAGTTGGCGGCGGAGCCGACGGCGGCGCCGCCAGGGGGGGGCGTGCAGCGCCGACCTTCGGGAGAACCGCGCGGGACTCCGAAGGATCAGGCCGGGCGTGTCCTCCTAAAGGCGAATGTTGAGCCTTTATATATATATATATATATATATATATCCCAGTGCGACCCTACCTAGGAGTTGGAGCATCTAGGAAAGCAACCTCTACATCTACACCGCCAGCTACATTAGCATCTACACCTGCATCTACATCTACATCAACATCAACAGCGAGACTCACATCTACATCTACATCTACACCTACATCTACATCTACATCTACATCTACATCTACATCTACATCTACATCTACATCTACATCTACATGTACATCTACACCTACACCTACGTCTACACCTACATCTACATCTACATCTACACCTACACCTACATCTACATCTACACCTACACTTTCGCATTGGTTTTGTTTTTGCTTTGCATTGCCTTGCCTTTGCTGTTGCTTCTGCTTTTGCTGTGCTTTTGCTGTTGCTAAGATGAGATCAGCAACGCTAAGCTAAGGGGACGTAACTGGGGGAACCGCGGGGCGGATCTTGGAGGAACCGCCCGGGGCGGTTTACACAGCTCGGCCCCTTGAAGCTCAGAGAGTAAGAACCCTTCTAGGCAGAGCCTAGGTAGGGAAAAAGAAACAACTACATATAATTCAAACCAAACAAATTGAAATCTTGAGCGAACCATTGAAGAGAAGACACTTTAAAAAATAGTGACAACTACTGCAAAATCGTCCCCGACAGGGGGCGGAGCTGACGGCGGCGCCGCCAGGGGGGGGGCGTCCAGCGCCGACCCGGAGAGCCGCGAAGAACTCCGAAGGACTACAGTCAACCAGTAGAGCAAGGATGCGCGCTCAGGAAGCAAGGGCCCTGGACGCCCACTGTGAAGCTTTTCGAGCAGGGCGCGGCCAACGAAAGTTACGCAGAAGGCATCTGTACACCACCACCATGCCAGGCCAGGGCCATCCTGGCGCTGGCATGGTGTATACGCCCTCCTGGCCGAAGCCAGGAGGGTCTATACACCATCCTGGGGCCCAGGATGGCCCTGGACTGGCACGGTGGTGGTGTATAGATGCTCTCGTCGGAGAAAGTGGCCAAGGATGGACCGAGGAGGCAAGGATGCAAGGGTTCCCTCGGGAAGGTTGCCCATCCTCGCTGTGCGGGTGGACTGTAGGTCGGGCGTGTCCTCCTACAGGCGAATTTTGGGCGACATAAATTAGGCAAACAATGAGCAACAAGTGATCATAAATATTAAAACAAAATCATCCCCAGGCTATCTTGCGACTATTTTTGAATATTCCTCCTGTAGAGGGGCACGCCCGACTAAATAAAAGGAAGTAAAACGCCATAACCAGAAACTTTTGGCGCTCCGCGCGGATTTCTGGATCTTCGCTGGACCCCCCTCCCTGGCCGCCGGGGGAGCCCAGCGCGAATCCAAGGAATCCACGCGGAGCGCCAAAAGTTAATGTTCATGGCGTGTTTCCTTCTTCGACGAAATTCGAAGGCTTTCAAGTACGGCGGGTTCGTGTCGTTTCCGGCTTCGGCGATAGGTCCTGTCTCCGCGGGGACCTGTCAACCTTGAACCACCGGCCGTTTCTGAAAAGCCAGATCGTTCAACATCGACCGATCTGGGTCGCTGGCGGCGTTCAACGTTGAACGCTGGCGGCGGGGTCGACGCTGGTTGACACGACGTGCCCCTACCGTACGCAGCGCTTCGGTCTTCGAGGAACAGGGGCTCGCGAGCTTGAGGTGATGGTGCGCCTCCTGCAGCAAGGAGGTCGCCTCCTGCGCCAGCTGTAGGGCCTCCTTCACGCCCCTGTCGCGGGACATCTTCGCCGCCTGCTCCTTTAGGACATGAGGGAAGAGGTGGTCGTCCAAAGTCCTCCTCCTCCTCCTCCTCCTCCTCGTCCTCCTCTCCCTCCTCCTCCCCAATCTCGGCTCGAGGGCCCCTGACCGAGCTCGCAGCCGCGACGCGAAGCCCCCAGCGCAACTGCCAGCTTTCTCCGCGAATGGCGAGACTGGACACGCCTCGCCCCGCGATGTGACTGCCTCGAGCCGTCTCCGTCTTCCTGCGCGCGCCGCAACTGTTCCCGAGAGCCCTCGCCGCCCACTGCAGCCCAAACCACCAGGCCAGGGCCGCCAAGCCTCCCATCCGGAGGGCCTCCTCGTAAGGCAGGAGGCCTGCGCCCCTGCTGACCGAAGCGATGGCGGCGCAGACCGCGCCGCCGCGGCCTGCGGCGAGCCTGTCTACGAGCACCCAACCGACTTCGAAGCCGCTCACCGGCAACACCACACCAACCGGCCTCGGTCCAAGAGCGGGCGGACGAAGCTGTGCAGACAACGCGAGGTCAACTGCACCGAGCTGCAGTTTGCCCTCGCACACAATACGGGCACCAGCCGTGACCCACCAGGGTTCTTGGCCCCGGCAGCTATCCACCAGGATAACGGCACAGCCTATCATCAACCTCCCTGCACCAAACTGGGACGCCCCGATCGCGCCTACGCTTAGGTCGGGCGTGTCCCCCTACAGGCGGATTTTGGACGAAACATAAGAAATACCCCACACATGCTCAAAACATATTCAGAAATAGTCAAAACATCGTCCCCATACTATTTCTTGAAACATTTTGGAATATTCCCCCTGTAGAGGGACAGGCCCGACTTAAGCCTACGCTCAAGAGGGCCGACCACGGGATCTCACACAGCATTTAGTATCCCACAACACCCCGCCGAGCGCCGAGAGCCAACAGGCCAGGAAACGAACGCTCGGACGAAGGATGGATATTCAAACAAAGCGTCCAAAAAGGATCTTCGACAAGACTGGCGCCCTTTCCGGCAGCCTCGAAACGGAGCAGCAGAGGCTCGCGGACACAGTGATGTGCCTTGAAACCACGGTCACAAGCGTGGCCACCAACAAAGCTACACTGGCCAAGCAAAGCTACCAGCTCAAAAGAGGATCGCCTCTGTCCGAATTGAGCAAACCAGCCTGAACGCAGACCTGAGTGCCTTCATGACAAAGACGCGAGCTGACGACTCCGGCGAAGAGTGTAACCCCTGCGACGAGGCGGACCCGACGAACAGCGTGTCAGGTGGCTGTGCGGCATCGGGACTGAGCGTGGGCCCATCAGGGTAAACGCAAGGCCAACCGGGGCCGACTCGCTATCCGACACCACAGGCCTGGTCCCCCTCCCGTGCCCCCGCCCATCCAGGACGACACCGAGGCAAAAATCACCAGACAGGTAAAGAACGGAGGAGGGGGAGGAGGATGATGAGGAGGAGGAGGAGGAGGAGGAGGAGAAGGAGGGGGAGTAGGAGGAGGAGGAGGAGGAGGAGGAGGAGGAGGAGGAGGAGGAGGAGGAGGGGGAGGAGAGGGAGGAGGAGAAGGAGGAGGAGGAGGAGGAGGCATTGGTGGCCAACACGGCAGTGTCATTGGCCGCACGGGGGATCCAGAGCAGCACTGGAAGGCCCTGTGGACCAATGGCAACACTGCCTCCCTGCTCACGTCAACATTGGTCCTTCGCTCCCGACGGCAGCCGGCGAGGGGTAACGCTGCGCCAACGTCAGGAAACAGGCCAGCAGAGGCGTCAGACTCGTCGACTGCGGGACCTACTTCTGAGGCACAAGGCCCGCCTGCGCACATGTAGAAACCGGTGCAAGGGCCTGCTTACCGAGCCCCGCGAACACCGACGCAGACCGCCACACCCCGTCGGTCCACCTCTCCACAAAATCCTGGAGGTTGACGCCGAGGAGGCCCCGCACGAGTTCATCGGTTCGACACCCACGAGCTCCTGAGCGGTTGATGATAAAACTGGCATCCAATCGAATTGCGAAGGCGCTGCCTGCGCAGGCGGGATCTGCTACCCCCGAGGCCCCAACTCTACCTCCCTATGTGGCTGTGACAGAGGCGCCAGGATTGCGCATAACATTGGGTGCGTCCTGCAGAACACAGTTGTTGCCTACTACCGTCGTGGGGCGATCGACGGTCTTCCTCGGCTCGTATGTCTTACTTCAACTACTGGACCACGCTTCGCGGAGCACCACTCCAGTGAACGAACTCAAAGACCTGATTAGGGCGAGCACACGCGCCTTCTCCTCCTTGCTCGATTGGTCGCGGCCAGCCCACCAGTGCTCGCGCCAACGGATTTGACGAGCAAAGCAAAGAATCCCGAATCTGTGTGCAACACGTACAGTACCAGCTATCCGGCACTGCCCAGCACGACAGGGTCAAGCACCAATAGCCTCACTTTGACACATGACATGAGCAGTGCAACGAGGACCGCAGCATCGAGCAGCATGTCAGGGACCAACACCTCGACACTGTACAGTACGACAAGATCACGCACCACGACGTCGCGCACCAAAACGGGATCCAGTACCAGCAGCCGCACATCCAAGAGCGAGACGAGCGGTACAATGAGCACCTCGTCTTCGGGTGGCGCATCTGTGACCATCCTGACATCATGCAGCACGACGAAATCGAGCACTTCGGCGTTGAGTGGCACGACGAGCTCCAGTCCCAACACATTCACACTTACGAGTGAGACGAACCCTGCACGGAACATCACGGCTTCCAATAGCACGTCTGGGACCTGCACCTCGACACCTAGCAACGCAACGAAGTTTAGCACCACGACGCCGAACTGTACGACGGGATCCAGCACAAACAGCCATACATTAACGAGTATGACGAGTAGTGCACCGTACACCACGCTCAACGCGTACGTGATTAGCACCTCGGCACCGTGCAACGCGACGGAGCTGAGCACCACGACGTTAAACTGTTGGACTGGACTCAGCCCCAACAGCCTCACACCTAAGAGTGCAATGAGCAGCGCAACAACCACGAAGTCTGTGAACAATACGGCCGGGACCAGCTCTGGCACACCGTGCAGCACAACGACAGCGAGCACGATGACACTGAGCAGCACGACTGAATCTAGCACCATCAGCCTCGCACTGAACAGTGAGACGAGCTGTGCTCGTGGTAACACGACTGCTAGCAGAACGTCGGCGACCAACATCCCGACGAGCAACGAGAAAGAACTGAGCTCCAACAACACGTCCTTCAACATCATGGCTGTGATCAGACCCTGGACACCGGGGGACGTGAGGGTGTTGAGCACCATGGTTCCCTTCTCGGCTTTCTCTGGAATATGTTGGAGCCTCGGGGAACCTCGGGGCCATTCGAAGGCCGCCGGGGCCTCTCTGGTGGCCTGTCGACACCTCGTGCCTCCCTGGCGCCCCCGTCGACGGTTTAAAACCAAGGACACGTCTGTCAACACTCGGGACGGACGGAAGGGGAGGTCAGCCAGGGCGGGTTTACTTTTACTCCTGCTCCTTCCCCTTTGCTTACGCCGCTTTCCACTGGCTCCTGCTGACGGACCCGCCGCCGATTTACCTCCGCCAGCTTCCGCCGAGGGATGGACGCCCAGAAGGAGAAGCTCTTCCTGGAGCGCCCTGCACCAGGGACAGAGCCTGGAGGCCGAGACGAAACCAGCTGCGCGCCAATGACACTCATGCCAACATCCGATCTCCCCAGGCCTCCGACGCCTTGACCTCCAAGGTCTGGACCCATTCCCCGGGACCGATCCTTCCCCCCCGATCGCTCTTGGACAGCCCCGGGGCCCAACCAGGACACCCCCATGGCCGAAAAGGAGCAACACCTCAGCCGCCGTGATTGTTTCGCAGCGAGAGAAGGTCTGGGTCCTTATCGATCCTTCCATTTTTAGTGCTAGTGTTAGTTATCCATCTCGATCCTTCCATCTTGATCTCCCGGTCGATCCCTCAATCTCCCCCGCCGCTAGCCAAACCCACGCGGGTGCTCCACCCCTCCACCCATGCCGATCTCCTCAGGGCCCCGAAAAAATGTTGACTTAGAGACACAAATAACATGGCACGCCCGCGAGAACTGCAGCGTCGGATCCTCGTTTGCAATGTCCTGCTGCCCTGGGATCTGACACCTTCCGCCGCCCGACCCGACACGAGCTCCGATGTCCTGCTTTGTCTAAATCAGGCAGGCCACTGAAGCCACAACCTCTCGGTGGCATCCCCGGGTTCAATGAAGGAGCCCTGGAACACACAATTAAATACACACAAATAAAAATATTCCCCATACTTTCACATATTTTCTGGGTTTTTGTTTCCCCCCCCACTTCCCATATTTTCCCATCTGTTCTGGGAAATCGCCGATTCATTGTGTCTGTGTGTTTCTTTCCCTCCTGGTTCGAATCTGTAACAAAGCGCGTCGGATTTGGACGGTGGAAGTCTGGATTCGCGCTCGGCTCCAGACTGCTGCTGCTGCCGCCGCGCAAGGCCAGCCGCTCGGCCTCTGCGTGCTGCCCCTGTTGGGAGCCCGACAATCACGCACTGGTTCAACCTGGCCAAGCCCATCCCGGACACCGTATTGGCGCGTAGGCTACACGAGCGAGGGAAGAGTGACGGAGGGCGAGGGGAAAGAGGATGAACAGGATGAGGCGGTGGATGAGCCAAAAGAAGACGAGGAGGAAGAGGGGAAGGACGAGGAGGGGACACATGTATGGAAGAAGCAGGATGAGGGATGGAAAGGGGAGGACGAGGGAACGGATGCAGAGAAGAAAAGTGAAAATAATGGAACGCGCAGGGGAGGGGGAAGAAAGCGCAAATACATCAAGAATACGAACAGGAGTCTTCCTGCCCCAGGCCAAGCCAATACTGTGCCAAGGAATGGCGTACGCCTGCCGAGTGCATTGATATGACTGTCAGTTCCCGACCTGTGCGACGAGTTGCTTGTTGTAGGCCTCGAAAAGCTTGGCATGCGCCTGCTGCGCCAAGCGTTCCATTTGCGTCAGGCTCTCCAGCGTAACCTTTCCCTCGTCTCGCTGGACTCTGGCAGCGGCACATGTGCCCTCAAGGCGGGAGAGCTCGGCAGAACGGTTCTTGGCGACCACGTCGCTGCGCATGCTGGCCACCTCCGCCTCTGCGCTCGACTTACGAGCCACCTTGCCGGCCCATTGATTCACAATGTCTTCTTGAGCAGCGCACACCTGTTGAGCAGACTTGAACGCTTCAGTGCATCGAGACACCTCGCTGGTGCACAGGTGGCGCTTGGCCTCGCAGCGCGAGATGCGCCCCTTACGGCCACCCCTCAACCATGTGGATGGCTGGAACGGAGTGCGGTAGATCAGGCTCCCGCGGTTCTTTGCCAACTTATCCGCCGCCGCCACCGCGCCGCGAGGCACTGAGTGGAGGTCCCTCAGTCCTCCAAATTGAATGCGCCCGTGCGCGCCTGAAAACGGTAGCGTCACCTCTTCCGAGACTTCGAAACAGCTAATCGGAATCCGAATTTCGAACGTGCCCGAAGATCGCCCCAAATGCTCGCCTCGGAGCCGTCTTGTGGCTCTCTTGATGTATCGAATCGTTCGAATCGTATGGGCGTATGTGGTTACATCATTAGCGGGATCCACCAAAGGGGGGGGGGACCCTAAGGGAGGGCATGAGTTCGATTCGCTGGTGCACCGAACTGCCGCAGACAGATGCCCCCTGGATGCTCCACCTATCGTCAGCTATCGGGAGCTGCTGGCGGCTGGGGGGCTTCTGTTTTGGGCGGTTCGGTGCAATAAAGGATCGAACTCTCTGTCTCTCTCTCTCTCTCTCTCTCACGCACACGCACATGCACACGCACACGCACACCCCAACACACACACGCACACACACACACGCACACACACACACAGGACACACACACACACACACAAACACACCCCTTGCGGAATCCCGACGTTATCGCCTGTTCGACCTCAGCAGCGACCATGCCGCCGCAAGAGGTCCCCAAGATCGCACCGAGACGACCCCCGGGAGCCCCTTCCCCGGAGATGGCGACCGAGACCACTAGCAGGCCAGGCCCCCAGGAGGCCCCAGGAGGGCCCGCCAGAAGGCTCCCCCACGGCCTGCAGGGAGTCAGCAAGAGGCCTCCAGGAGCCCTCCCAAAAACCTAAGACGACGACGGCATGAGGGGAAATAGGGGGGAGAATAAGTTGGGAATCTCTGGGATGCGGCGGCTCTGGAGGATGTCTCGGGCGCCGCGGCCTTCTCAGAGCGTTTCGGAACGCTCTGAAAGCGTTCTGGGACGCTCTGGAACGGATGTGTCCTCGTCTTGGCCCCGTCCGCAAAACCGCGAGAGGACTCAGACAGGTCTCTCGACCACGACCCAAATAATCATGATGACGGGCTGGGCCAAAGGCGGCCAGATAGTCGTAGTGCTCCATTGATATTTTGGCCATGTTCAACTTCGCGGCCTCGTCAACTACTTTGCTGGAGGCGCTGCTGTGACCTGCCTGGGCACGATCCATCTCACCCGGAGCATCGCTCAAGCTCTCGATCTCCTTCCAGGCAGCCAGACCACAGGGATGGTGAAATCTACCCTTGTCACGCCCCCCTCGGGAGACGGGAACGACGAGGAGAGGGAAGCGGAGGAGTGAGAGAGGTGTCGCCGCCAGGGGGGTGAGCGGGACAGCAGCAGAGGCAGCGGGGCAAAGCGAAGCCCGATCCGATCCGCGGCAGCGGGCGATGGGAGTGAGGAAGATACAATTGACTACCTACCAGACCACCTCAACCCAACCCGAAGACCCGAATTTGACCCGAATTTAGGGTTGGGGGGGGGGGGTACGGGTTCCATGTTTTTTGTTCAACGTTCCCCGACCCCCCCACTGGAAATGGATGGCAAATTGAGGCCTTCGGGTTGGGTTGGGGTGGCTTGGTAGGTGGTGAACAATCCCAGAGCTGCGTCGGGCAGCACACGATGGTGGAGGAGCCAGTGGTACGTGCACCAACGAGGAGAGGAAAGAGGACCCAGGCGACGCAGCTGCATCTCACTAGCCCTGTGGTTCCACTGGCCCCGACTCCTGAAGCAGGAGGTCGTAGTGAGCAAAGAACTGACTGCTGTGGGACGCGCTCGCGGAAGACACGAGCCTGGCCCGCACCACCGTGGGCCCGCCAGGCGTCTCGGAGCGAACGCTCCCACCGACCTCGGGGCTGAGCAGGCTACTGCCTTCCCCCTCCCCTTCAAACTGGGGCAGGAGCAGCACTGGCCTGCACACATGTGCAAACACACACGCACACAACCACATACACAGGCTGCCCAGTAGCTCTGCGGACAACGCGTGAGAAGCCGCGGGTCAAGTCCAGCACGTGTCGGCGGGTCGCGTGGCGAGACGGGGGTCAGTTCTGATGGGGGTCGCGGCTTGGGGTCGGAGCATGTCGCGAGTGGGTTGCCGGGCGACGGGACCAACTGCCAACACACACGCAACACACATGACAGCTCGCCGTGTAGGCCCCCACCCCCAACCCAGACGGCGAGCATACGCCCGGCGCAGCCCCGCAGTGGCCACCCGTGGGAGTGGCCAGGAGCTTCGCTATCGATGGGCTGCGCGAGTGGTTGCACAATTCGTGGGTTGCGCCACCAATTCCCCCATCGATCGGTTCTGTCACCAGTCGCGCAACCCATGGGTTGCGCCATTGATCTGCGCCGTGTGTTGCACCATCCGTGGGATGCGCAATCCGTTGCGCCATGGGTTACGCATCCGGCAGCAGACAGTATGAGGGCATGCTATAGTTTGCGTCATGGGTTGCGCATTCAGTGGCCGAAACAAACATTTGCTTGGTGACTATAGATTGCGTCATAGGTTGGGCACTCAGCGGCCGTCACATATAACGACCTGCTGCTGGTTGTGCCATGGGTTGTGCACTTAACGACCGCAACAGAAATTGGCCTGGTCTTGATTGCGCCATGGGTGCACTCAGCAGCCGAACAGATTGCGGCCTGCTATAGGGTGCGGCATGGGTTGAGGACTCGGCAATCGAGACTAGCACTGCCTTCTACTGGGCGCGACCAGTCACTCTTTACCCCGCAAAATACAAACTCAAGATGCGTCCAGAAACAATCAGTAATCCGCAGCGCGGAACTCCACGTGCAAGCCAGATCTGACAGTGCAAGCCAGATGGGCCTCCCTACGTTGACGAAACATATCTTGGCGGCGCGCACAAAGAGGGTGTTACGAGGGGGGCGGCATTCTCAGAACGCGGGGGGGGGCTTCTTAGAAGGCAGGGGTCTTCTGAGCAGGGCCCCGAACCTTCTAAGTTTCAGCTGCGCGACCCGCCGATGGTGGTTGGTGGTAATTTACACAAATGCCGCAAGCCTCCTGGCAATTCGTGAACCCGTGGTTGTTGGTGTTCGTCACCATCGTTTAAAAGCGGCGGCTCGCCGCCAAATTCCCACCAGGATTGGCTTGAACCGATGTTTGGGAGGGCAAGACCTGTCAGCATCGAATGGCGTAATGGAATCAAATCAGAACGTACGTCAGATCGGACTGCATCGGCACGGAATCCGCCGACCCTGTCGGCGTGTGGACCAGCTGTCGGCGTGCGCTCAGGCGACGCATCCGTTGTCCTCGTTCCCTGCGTCTCCGTCGTCCCCTTTCCCTGCACCCTCCTATTCAAGCCTGCCAGCGAGAGACAACCGTAGCAACGTCGTACTGAAGTCGAAGGGAAGCCTCTTCCCTTTGATCCCTCCCCCGCCGAGGCGTGGGGGGTTCCCGGTGGGGTCCTGAGGGGGGGGTCCCGGGGAGGTCCTGGGGGGAGGGTTAGATACGCATCCGCCCCTGGGCGTCCCGGAGCCCCAAAAAGCGCCAAGACGCACCAAGAGGGCCCCAAGCGGGCCCAAGAAGAGGACCACGAACCGACAGTTCGAGCTTCCCGCCCCGAAAAACTCCCCGAAGGCCCCAAGAGCCCCTCAAGGGGCCCGAAGAGGCCCCCAAGAGACCCCCAAGAGGCCCAACAGAGGCCCCAACAGGCCCGAAAACATCCAAGAGGCCTTTCAACCACTACCCCAGCACGGTGGCGGGAAGGGCCGCAGGCCTCAAGGCTCCCTGTCTGTCTCTGCTACGACTCCCTCGGCCCAGATGGGGAACATCTCCTTCACCGACTCCTGTTTCCTTCCACCTTAATCCCCCTCCTCCTCCTCCTCCTCCTCCTCCTCCTCCTCCTCCCCCTCCTCGTATTCGTCGTCGCCGTCTTCAGGGTCGGCGGCACCAGCCGTACGGCCTTAGCAATCGAACTATATTCGGATCGGCTGCGCCAAGATGCACAGCAACGCGATGCAAACACTGGGGCCATGTCGGGCCGTCGGACTATCGGAATCGACTCGGATCGAGCTAACCGGAACCGATATCGCATCGGATCGATATGGTCGTAATGGACTTTGCAGGGAGGGTTGGGGGGGGCACTGGGCGGAGGAGAGCGAGAACAAAAAGGAGCCCGAGCCGAAGGAGTAGTAGCATCACATCGAGGAAGAACACGGCTGGAATGATGACGATGTGAAAGAGGAGGGCATCGTTGAAACAAGCGCAAAGAAAGGAGCAGGACATGGCGCAGAAGGGCGAACACGAACAGAAAACGGAGCAGGAGGAGAAGCTCAGGGCAAACGAAGAGGATCGGGATATGTATCATGCGTGGGAGGTGGGAGGAGGGCGGATACGATCTTGGAAGACTATGTTGGCCAGCGTGGGTCCCAGACAGCGTGTGTTCTAGCACTCCCTGTCGAGCACATTACGTGGAGCAACCGGTGTGGTGCTGCCTGCGTGACTGCTTGGCGCTGGCTGGCACTTCGCGGCAGCCGCGCGCGCAAGCTCGCGCGCAGAGCAGCCAGCAACTGTGGCGCGACCGACGCGGCCGTGGCGGCGCTGACCGCTGGGCACGTCCCAGTGCGTCTTCCAGGCCGCCCCAGCGCGCGGACACTCCAATGCGATGATAGCAATGATGCTGGTGACGACGATGACGACGATGGCAAGGTCAATGGCGGTGCCGGTGCTGACCACGCCGATTCGGGTTCCGTAAGAATTTTATCACGCGCGCGCGACCGACGGGCGCACCTGGCCCACATGGCAACGTTTCAAAAGGATCGTGCACCCCCTCAGGCACGCGCGCAAGCGCGTTCGAGTGATTTCGATATGCGCGCGAAAGAGGCCCGCTTGGTCATACTTGGTGAGGATGTTGAAGTTGAAAAAACCATGGCTCCCCTAAGAATCCGCAACAGCGCCCGCGCAAACCTCTTTTACAACAATCATGCTGCAAAACCATGTGGTCTAATATGTTCTCGGGGGCACTCGGTTTTGCAATCCTCACGACACACGAGGTTTGTGATGGATTCCCCCATGCGCGCGCGACGACGCACGCGTGTATACTTCGTCCCATGATGCACAAAAGACGCATGAAAACTGATGACTTCTGGTGAACGAATGTGGAAAGCCAACCGTGGACCGGCCATGGGTATCACCGCCGCCCTCATTGGATAAGGAACCCTCCAGGGCCTGCAGCCTCCTGGGCGCAGTCCGTAATCAACGCCCCCACAGTAATGACGACGGCCAGGCCAATGACGGCGCTGATGCTGATCACGCCGATGACGATGATATTGTCCTCAAGTCGGTGAGAAGCGTTCTGGAAAGATCTCCACATGCGCGCGCGGCCGCCGGGCTCCAGTGGCCCGCGTGGTGTTCTCTGATCGGGCTCGTGCCCCAGCACGCCGCGCGCAGGGGAGTTCGGATGAGTTCGGCATGCTCGCGACATGCACGCCTCGTCCCATGGAGGAACATGATCAACAACCGATGCCGTTCCTAACAATTCGCAAGGGCGCTCTCACTTTGTTCATGCAGCATCTTGCAACACCGCTGCTTCTTATATCTTTCCAGGACACTCGATTTCCAAGTCCCTACGAATTTGTATACGTTTGATGGATGTCGTAATGCGCGCTCGACGCCGCGCGCGTGTGTACATCGTCACATGTTGCAAGGGATTCACGGAAATACATCGTTTGTGATACACGACTGCGCGCGCATCGCATCATCTCACCACGCTTCCGAGAGCGGGTCCATACCAGCCTTGCTGGAACAATCTGTGCTCATACCTAGAACGAACGATGACAATCTAGATGTTGCAATCTCTGATGAGTAACTCTAGGCGGCGAGTGGCCGGCGACGGCGACCACGGAGCCGCCAGACCGCCAGCCAGGCCCAGACGACGGGCGGCGACTGGCAGCGACGGGGCGGCGACGGCGAGCACGGAGCCGCCACACCGACAGCCAGGCCCAGACGCCGGGCGGCGACGTGATGGTGACGGAGCGGCGTCGGAGAGCACGCAGCCGCCAGACCTTCAGCCAGGCCCAGGCTCCCCAATGGAGAGACAAGAGCCCCGCGTATCGCGATGAAAACGAGAACGATCTGGCCAATGATGATTCTGATGCCGAGTGCTGAGGCGACGCGGGATCTCGAAAAGGAGCGAGCAAAGATGTTGGTCGAGCAGCAAGAGGATGAGGGAACGAACGACCCCTATCCCTCCCGCATGTAGTCACCAGTCCCCCTCCTTCTCCTCGGCCACCCATTCTTTCCTTCCCATCTCATCCACACCACACCCCTCCGAGCCTTCTTCGCACGCATCCACGGCCCCGCCCATCCTCCATCTTTTTCCGGTGCTTCTGGCTCTGGCAATGCATCTCCACCTGGGGAAACGCAAAGGACCGATACCACTACCCCACGGCCCCCTCCTGGGGTGTCGTCTGAGCAAAAATTCGAAGCGAATCCAGCGGTGTCGAAAAGGGCCTCGCGGAGGACCAGACAAAGGAACACGATGGAAAGGCAGCGGTACGGGTACCTTTTCCTCCTCCGATCCGCCATCGTGGACGCCGTCATGGGCCCCTTGTCGCACGCGGCGCACCTGCCGCCCGCTGCTGCTCCCCCGCGGTAGGGGACTGCGTGCTGCTCGGGTAGCTCAGAGGGCGGGCGTGAGGGGTGGAAGGCGGGAGCACGGGGAAAGCGGGACAGCTGGAGGAGAAGGAGGGAGAAGGAGGAGGAGGAGGAGGAGGAGGAGGAGGAGGGGAAGGAGGAGGGGAAGGAGCGGGAGGAGGAGGAGGAGGAGGAGGAGGAGGCGGAGGAGGAGGGGGGGGAAGGTGTGTGATGGGGGGGCGGAGGCATCGGCAGGAATCTGAGGAGGGCGAGGGCGAGGATAGAGAAGACAGTGCGGAAGAGGCGCGAAGCACGAGGAGGAGGATGATGACAAAGACGATGGAAGAAAAAAAGGAGGATCTGGAGAAAAGGGTTGGAGGCGAGAAGGAAGTGAATTGAAGACGATGCTTCGGAGAATAATGAGCATGAGGCGCATACTATATATTTGTGTTTGCATACATCCTCGTACCCACATCCTTATGTTATATTCACACGTACATACACACATTGGGCGCTTCATTGCATCGGGTCAGCGCACCCAGCCAAGGAGAATCAGCTACATGGACGGCGACAGGCCTCTATGTGGAGTGACGCTTGGATGTTCCAGCAAACTTTTCACTGGGTGAGCGAAATCCCACACCGTCAAGCGTTGGCTTCGCGCAGAAGAGGGTAGGGGGAGGGGGGAGGCATCTGAGAAAGATGCTGTTTCTTAGAAGGCGCTGGCCTTACATCTATAGATAAGGACCGCGCCTTCTAAGAGGGTGCTTCTAAGAAGCCTCCCCCTTCCCCTTGCCCCCAATGCGCGTGGCCGGCGTTGGCTAGGCAATGTGTCTCTGGAATTGGCATTGGTCGGGACGGAGCGGCAGACATAAGAGGCAGGAGGCGCAGGGGCGCCAGAGCGACAGGGTGGAAAAAGAGGTGGGCACGGACGGAGAAGGCGGCCCCACACTCGACCCCACAACGGCGACGAACGCGCGCACGCGGAGGGAAGCGAGTTGGGCAGAGCAGTCTGCCAAAACTCGCTGCTTCTCGGACCCGACACAGCTCCCTCATAATTGCATCGCTGCTGCAAATGCAAGACTTCGTATGTGCCATGGTCAACGCGGAATAATGCATTTGTTTGCCAGCGTGGACTCCAACCGGAAGTGATTGCACTTGGGATGTGTGAGCAATATTACTATGTGCACATTATCATACTTATATATGTGTACCTTCTAGAACCACGCGCGCGCGCTTCGCGCGCTTGTGCTCTACCGCAACACGCAAGACCCGAAGATAATGGAAACACATCATCACCAAACGAAGGCGTACTTTCTGATAGACGCTCCAGGCGTCCGTGAATTCTGAATGAGCACGCCGCAAGAGATCCCGCTGCTCGGAGCAGATGCACCGAGCAGCTGCCGAAGGAAATTGGGAGGCTTCGGGAGGCTCGTGGCCTGTGGACAGTCTTCAGCGGTCGTGAAGAATCCCTAGGCGTCTCGAGAGCCCCCCCCGGACTATCTCGGGGATGCCTTCGGAGGTCCTTCGGCAACGCTGGGGCCAATGTTGGCAAATTCAAGTCGCCGGCGGTCGAAACCATTTTGGACGCGGCCTGACCGTGATGTGCTCTGCTGGGGAGCGTTTGGGTAGTGCACTGCACACGGTACCAGACAGATGAGGCGGCCCACTCTTCTCATGAAAACGACGTTCAGTAGGAGGAGGAGGAGGAGGAGGAGGAGGAGGAGGAGGAGGAGGGGGAGGAGGAGGAGGAGGAGGAAGTGGACGAGGAGGAGGAGGAGGAGGAGGGGGAGGAGGAGGAGGAGGCATCCTAGGGTTTTCTAGGGTTTCCGAGGAGGACGCGGCCCTCTCGCTCCAAGGTAACGGGTTCAGCGTAGCCCAAGCGCAGCCAAGTGAGGGATGCCCGAGAGCCACTCACAAAAGTCTGGCGACACCATGCTGGGAGTCTCTTAGGATGCCGTTTGCGGGTGCTGCTGGAGGGCTCTTGGGTTTGTTTTGGAGGGGCATCTTGGGCGCCTCGTGGGGCTTCTTGTGGGTCTCCTGGTGTGGCCTCTCAAGACTTGTTGGGGGAGCCTCGAGGGCCTCTCCAGGGTTCTTGGCTTCGTTCGTGGCGGGAAGCTCGATATGCCAATACGAATCCACGTTATTGCCCCTCTTCTGATCCATTTTGAAAACCTATTGGGCCGTCTTGGGGGCCTCTTGGGCCGTCTTGGCGCTATCCTGGGTCGCATTGGGGCTGTCAAGGGGGCCTCTTGGGCTGCCTTAGTGCTGCCTTGAGGAACTCTTGGCACGTCTTGGGGCCTTGAAGGCCGAGAAAACGATAAAGCTGAGACAGGTCTGACACCAATCTCTATGTGTATCTATGTGTATATATATACAGATTTACACATACATATACATATATGTATATGTATATGCTTATAAACGTAATCGCACACCTCTATATAGGGCCAGATCCCCCCAGCACACCCCCAAACGCGAAGTGTTGCTCTCTCTACTTCTAACTCTCCCGCCCTCTGGCTCTCACTATGGTTGCTCGTTGGTATCTCTATCTCTCTCTCTCTCTCGCTATGTCTCTATTTCTGTCTCTCAGCCCTCCTCTATTCCTCTCGTTGTACCTCCTCCTACTCCTCCTTTTGCTGAGGGGAACCTGCGGAGAGGAGCATGGCCATCAAACTATACCATACACTTTACTATACTATACTATAGCATTCGGGGGTCCGTGATCTCACCACGCCCTAGTATGCACTAATTCCTGTTGCTCTTGAGGAGGCCCGCAAACTCGGCCACGAAGGCTTGCGGGAGGAGCGCGCCCACCAAACCCTATTACACACACGTGTCTACAGTTGCTTTGTCTCGGTGATGCACCCTATCCCACACACGGTTTCATGTTGTGGGTTCCCAGGGGGGGCGCATATTTGCCAGAGAAAGCATGCGAGGGAAGCGCATCCATCAAACCGTGCTATACACACGTGTCTTTTGTTTGTTGGTCCGATGGTACCACCAAGCTCTCCTACTCAGAGGTGTTGCGTTGCCCTGCTTTTCAAGAGGACAACAAATTTGTCGTGGTCAGAATCTGCAGGCCTCCTAGAGAACAGGAAAGCAACTTGAGCATAACATGTTCAGGTGGCATCCCTGGCCCAAAAAACAGCCAAACAGAACACATGTGTATGGTAGGGTTTGATGGACATGCTCCTCCCGCAAACCTCCCTGGCCAAGTTTACAAGCATCAATGCCACCCAAACGACAATGCAACATAACAAAAAGCATGTGTATACTAGGGTCTGGTGATATCACCGACCAAAGCAACGGAGGATTGTCCAGTGGCTCCAGAACTCTCCTCCATCAGAAAGCAATGTCTCATTCCATCTTTGGTTGAGCCCTTCCCTTCGTCGGTCTCTGTTGTGTCGAGTCTCTCTCTCTCTCTCTCTCCCCCGCCTCCTCACACAGATGTGGAGGAGGAGGGGGAGAAGAGCGAATCCCCCCACATATCCCAATGTTGACCAACTGTTTCTCCCCAGCTGGAGGAAGTCGTACGAGTATACTGTACATACATAAACATATATATATATATGTGAATGCGTATTGGCATAGAAATAGATGTGTGTATATATGTGATATGTATAGTTATGTATAGATTCATGTATGTCGGCGCTTCTTTTGCTTTCAACGCGCTGCGAACCATATTTCCTTCTGCTACGCAAAGGGATATGTGAAGACGGCACAACATGTCCATTATGGTTTGCTCACCGTCCCTCTTAAAGGCACGCCCCCCCTAACAACAAATGCAGCCCCCCTGTTTCTCAATGTCTCTCGGTATGTTTGCTTGGCGTCGCTCTATATGTTTCACCCTCTCTCCCCCCTTTCCTTCCACACATCCTCGCAGAGGCGAAGGAGGCGGAAACATAAAACTGTCATTATCTCTCCAATTCTCTGCGCGCGCGTTCCCTGTCTCACGTATGCGAAAATGCTGAGGAGAGGAAGGCCAACAACCTGAATGTTCAGTCTACTCGTTTCGAAATGGATTTGCATTGACACACCATCCGAACGCAATAGGGATACATTGGATATGAAATCTGTTCCATGCCTACAGGCGTCCTATTGGAATACGGGTCGCATGCAATGGGAGTCTTCTAACTTTGGGATCTGCTCCATTAGTATTCAAGGGCAGAAGAGGGCGACGACGACGTGAACGGAGGATGACGAAAGGGGGCGACGCAACGACCAGCAACAATACGATGGGGATACTGGTGATCAAGAGGCTGTGGATATGATGTGAGAAGAGGACCGTGGGGAAGATGTGGACGAGGACAGAAAAGTGGGATGATGGGGCGACGCGAGGATCAGCAGCAAGATGACTGGTCCTCAACATTAACGTCCAGCCACTTCCCCGCGCCTCCAACCTCGTACCAGTCATCAGTCCTCCTCGCCCTCCTTCTGCCGCTGGTCAAAGTCATCATCGTCAGCATCGTTATCATTAGCAACATCAGCAGCATCATCTTTATCATCACCACCACCATCATCGTCATCATCATCGGCGGCGTCGTCATCATCGTCTGCGTCTTCTTGCCCGCCTCCTCTGCAGATAGGGTCTCAAGACTACCCTCCTGCACCGCCTCTGCCTCCTTCCCCACTTCCAACTCATCATAGCCCCTATCCTGTCGATTGCCCGCTGAAATTATTGTTAGCAACATCAACAACATCACCGTCATCATCAACTACGCTTCCTCGTCCGCCTCCTCTGCTGATAAAGGATCATGGGTGCGCTGAAGAAGGACGTGGGTGCGAACAAGACTACAGCTGGCCTGTTACCTTGAATGCGCCTGCAGAACACGTGCGGGCTTGAGCTCTGCCCTTGCTTGTCGTTGCTGTCCCCTGCCGCGTCAGGGACCACACAACAAAGCTAAACAATACCTCGAAGACCACGGCCATTTGTTTCGTCATCGGCGAGGCAGCGAACTCCGCTCTAGCTAGAAGCTAGATAGGGGCACTAACTAGCGAATTGGCCCGCGGGCCAGGAGGGGGGGGAGACCACGGCCCAACATGCAGCAGAAATGGCCAGCTTATCGCGTCCCGATGCCAGCAGGACACCCAGGGTTTCAGGCAAGCCAGCGCCGCAGACTGGGGACGTGCATGAGCCAGATAGCGGGCCCACGAGCGGGTCAGTCACTGCACCAGTAATCTACACGGTAAGAATCCCTATCTGCGTCAAAGGAATGCCGACGTGTTGGAAGATGTGACCAATCGTCATCCACGTGGCGCCCATACTTACAGCTGACAGCCCGTATGTGAAAGCTGCACGTTTGGAAAGCCCCTGCGTACGAGAGAAAGTCTGGACACGATCGCAATGCAAGCTACTGACAGGAACTTGATCCAGATTCGCCGGCACGGCGGTGAGAAATTAATAATTGTTCTCGTTCGCGCGCGCGTGGCGGCTTATGGGGTCCGCGGACGAAAAAATACCTCGGCATGGTCCCGGCAGGGTCGGGCCAGAGATGCCAGAACTCCTGGGCGCCCCCCGAGAACCCCAATGAGGCGCCAAACGGGTGGCACGCCCTGCGGCCTCAGGCCAAGAACGTTCCAAGATGGCCCACGTTGGTCCCAAGACGGCCCAAGAAGCACCCAAGTCGCTCCAGGAGGGTTCCGAGAGAACTTCGAGAGGCCCCGAAGATGCAACAATCAATGATGTTGCTTCGGATTCCGGACGATTTGGGCGGTACCGCCTTTTCGAGCTGCCGACCGCCCTGGACAGCCCAAGAGGCCCCAAGATCGCTCAAAAAATGTATAATAAGACGTCTCATAGAGGGCGCCCAAATGGCCCGAGATGGCCCTAGACGGCCCAAGAGGCCTCCAAGAAGGCCCCATGATGGTCCTAAGAGCGGGCCCAGAGGGGGAACCCGAACAAATATTTCGAGCTCTCGGCCACAAGAGGCTCCCAGAAGCCCCCAGAGGCTCCCATGAGCACCCCAAGAGGCCCGAAGAGGCCACAAAAAGGGCCCCCAAGAGGCCCCCAGGAAGCCCCAACAGGCTCTCGGGAAGCCTCCCAAGAAGCCCCTAAGAAGCTCCCGAGAGACTTCAAAACTGTTCCCCCCAGGCCCCCGAGAACCCTCCGAAGAGACCCCAACAAGTATCCATGAGGACTCTGACCCAGCCAGGTACGTCTCAAAACTCTGCTGAAGCTCTCTAGAGCCATCTTGGCGCCCTCTGGGGCAGTCGACCGGCTCTCTTCGACAGGGTGCGAGCCACATCTCCAAAGATTCTCTCGAAAACAGTCCTGCCTGCCCCACCGTTCCGTATGGATACGAGGATACGGGCACACCACCATGCAGCCACCGTGATGTGAATTGGGCCGGCGGAGCGAGCGAAACGATGAAATACATTGAGCCAGAATGGATGCAAATGCCCTGAGGCACGAGGTGAAATGTCCTCAGGTCATTGGCTGAATCCCCTGAGCCTCAGTCCTCAATCTGGAAAATTCTGTAAGGAACCCCGGCACCAAGTCTATACATTTCTTGGGGTACCTGGCCGTCGAAGTTTCTCGCGTGACCTTTTCGGGCACAATGGGCCCCAAGACGGGCCAAGAGGGCCCAGAGAGACCGCCCAGACGGTCCAACAGGGCCCCAAATCGCCGCACAATCGGCCCAATACGCCCGAGATGACGTCAAGACGGACCGAGAAGCCTTCGAGGCGCCCAAGGAAAGCTCCAAGAGCCTTGCCAGGAGGGCCCAGAGAGGCCAACATCATTCTGTTCCTTCAGGATTCCATGTTTCCGGGGTCCTCAACTTTCCCAGATTCCAACGCTCCAAGACGGACCAAGAAGCCCCCGAGACCGCCCCAAGACGGCTCCAGAGGCGCCGAAGGCGGCCCAAGAGGGCCCGAAGACAGCCCCAAGAAGGGCCCAAGAGGGAGAACACGAACCCGGAATCCAGTCTTCCGCCTGAAGCAGCCCCTAGGAGGCGCCAAGGGACCCCCCAAAGGCCCCAAGAGGCCCCCAAGACGCCCAAAAAGGATCAACAACTCCCCCCAGTAGGATTCAAAGCGGCCCCCAGGAGGCACCCGAGAGGCCTTCCGCAACATCCCAACAAACGCTCTAGCGGGCCTGTGACCCACAACCCAGGCACGGTTGCAGGATGGGCCGAAATCCATTTTAGGTACGGGATATCACCCGTCCTCCGCCTACACCCTCCACCTCTCCCTCTTCCGTTTCTCCTTCACGTCGCACCGGCCTGGTCCCTGTTGTTCCCCCCACTGCCCAGCCCACCAGAAAGCGTTGCCTCTGAGAACGATGCGCTGAGGTATCCACTCCTCCGTTGGCAGGGGGGAGAATGGTAAGGAAACCAACGGGAATGGTTTGACCCTCGCAAGGATGACATGTGACTGCTCGACCTCATCCATGATGAGAGCACGAGAAGGGATGATGAACAGATGGGTTGGGGACTCGAGGATCGACGGCTCAAAACGGTGCTCCAAGAGGACTCCAAGTATCACTACGCTGCGGCCGCCATTCATCACTTTATGAAGTCTGGGTCATCGTCGTTGGAGGGGTAGGGGCCGTGCCAGGGCACCACCGTCATGACGTTTCAGACGATAGTTGTCAAGTGCGCGCGGGGAGACCTCGTTAGCGTTTGCATCGCTGGCTGGACCAGGGCAGGAAGCGCGCTACTGTGAAAAGCAAACTCCGCCGACGCGCACAAAAGCGCGCACAAAAGCACACCGGCGACAACACCAACACCGAAACCCGAAACAAACTCGACAGACACCGAAACTGGAACCGACCAGAACCGATCAGCCGCGAGAAGGGCTCAGCGACTGACCAATGACACACCAACTGACCGAACAAAACACAAGGCCAACCAACATCGATTCGGGGAATCAGGTCGCATCAGGACGCGCGCCGAATTAGGACGCATCGGCATCGAAATCGGAATCGGAACCGGCTGGCCGTAAACGATATCGAATCGGATCGATCGGATAGACATATGGACCCTGGCTGGTGTAAATGAAAGCTGGCGCAGATCTGATTCAACAGAGGGGGAAACGTCGAGCGGCCTGCATCATGCTTTCACTTGAGCCTGGGGGGCAAGGAGCAACGTCCTCGGATACGGTGAACCCAACAACATGCATGATTATCGGCGGTATCGACGGCCCCCCGAACGATTCGGGGAAGTGCCATGTAGGAGTTCCTACCACATGAGCACCCCCAAACCCCGCAACGGCAAAACTTGATGCTACCCAGTAGCGCTCGTTATCCTAAACGGGCTCCCGAATAACAACAAACAACACACATGTTGTGATCAGCCCATCTGAGCTCCAACTCCTCACCCGTCGCCCCCCTTCCTCCTCCGGACCAGCCTGCAGAATCACCCACGCACACCGTAGGAGGCCCGAGTACCACTCGGCCGTAACAGCCGAAGCTCATGTCGTCGTGAAAGAGACTCGAACTCCGACTCCACCTCGCCCTGGCCACTTCGAACGGCTCCTCACTTCGTCGGGGGGTCGGAGATTGGTGCGATGCGTATGATCGAAATCGTTGCATGCAACGACTGCTCGGTCGACGCCGCCACTGCCCTGGAGGGTGGCGACGCAGGCCTCCTTCCGACTGAAGTGTGTATCCAATCGAACAATTAAAATCTATCCTTTTGGCGACCCTTTCCCACTGGATTGGGCTGCCGTGGTGCAGGGCGACGCACGGCGAGGGTCTTTCGGAGCCATGGCGCGCGCGCCCAACTCTATCGATTTGACGCCAGTCTGTCACGACCTGGGATGGGCCGCGCCCGGCCTCGCGAGGCCAGAACAAGGTTGCGGGGTTCTTGGCGTCGCGGCGGCGCACTGGGTCAGGGACCCCCGAGCCGACTGAGGGGCAGCAGGGAAGGAGGCGATGGGCAGGATGGGTGCGATGGCAAGACGGGCCAGAAAACACAGGAGTGGGAGGACCAGCTAGAAGGGTTGCGAGGGACAGAGACAGGGAAGGGGGGCTCCGGCCACCGTTTCAGCCTCCGCCCCACCTCCTCTTCCTCCTCTGGAGGCGGCAGAGGATGAGGAGGAGGAGGAGCCTGGGGAAACCAAGAGATGCCAATACCGCTACCTCCCAGACCTGTCCCAGGGCGCCCTCTGACTAGAATGTCGAGGCGAATCCAACCGTGGCGCTGAGGTCCTCCCAGGAGAGCCCCCAAAAGCCGAAGAAGAGGCAAGGGCAGCGGTATCGGAAGCCTTTCCTTCTCCGACGTGCTCCCTTCCACGGCCTTGTCCACGCTCCCCTCCCCCTCGGCCGCCGATGCGTCAACCCAGGGCCCCGGCGGCGCGACTCCTGCTTCAGCTGGAGCGTGGTGGTCGGACCTCCCCTCATGCCGCTCTTCGGCCGCGAGAGCCCGCCCCCCACACCACCTCCACCTCTGGAGGGAAAGGAAGCGGAGACCACGGCCAAGACTGCATGCGGAAACGTCGGTGTCGACCTGGATCATCGTCCAGCTTGGTCACTGTCAAGTCGTGGGTCGTCTTTGCGAACCCGCGACGGTCAGCATTGGCCACGACCAAGATCGCCGTCGACAAGATCCCGCGGCATTCTTGGTCATGGTCATCGTGTTTCTTCCCTCGGTCCTCCTACATCCTGGCCCCGCTCTCGTTTCCCCTCTCGTTTCATTCCTGCTGCTGCACCTCCCTGGAGCCAAGCAGCGACGAGCATGCGGGACGCTAGATGCGGACCGAATCTGTCCACTGCCGACCCCGAAAAGGGCCCTTGGGTGCACGAGAAGCGCCGGGGGAACAACCACGGGGGGGGGGAACTAGACGGACCCCTTCCGAGCCCGAATCGGTCCTCAACGCCAGCGTCTTGACCGCGCCCCGCATCTCCCCTCCCACTGCTCCTCCCGCATCTTGACCGCGCTCCCGCATCTCCCCTCCCCCCCCGGCCCCGCCACCAACCTCCCCGCCCCGCCTCCCCAGCCCCCCCGACGCCGTGACGCCGCGACTGCCCCGCGGCGCGGGCCTCTGAAATCGGGAGCGGCCAAGAGGGGGGTGTCCAAGAGAGGGAGGTGCAGATCATGACCGGCGGCATGTGCGCGGCCCAGCGGGGGGGCCAGGGACGTGATGAAGCAAGAAGGGGCGCCATGAAATCTGGGGAAATACCATGGCCCCCGCCATGATATCCCCCCCCCAAGTCATCACCCACCTCTTTGCCGCCCCCCATTAAAAAATGCCTGGGCCGGTTCCCCGGGGCCGGCGTGGCATCCCGGGCCGTTTTGTGTGGACGGCCCGGCGGCCAGGCGCGAGCCCCCAGAGGCTGAAACTGGTGCAAGGAGCCTTGGGGCGTGGTGCCTCCCCCGCGGTGGGCAGCCTGGTCTTCAGGTCACCACTCGGCCCCCTCTGGCGGCCCGCGGGGCGATCTGGGCACCCCTCGGCGCTGTCGGTCACGCGCAGCTCTGGGAGACCATCCCGAAGAGCCCCCCGAGGGTCCTGACAGCTTTCTGAAGCCTCCAGCCTGGGCCTGAGGGCCCCCGAAGCCTAGCGAGGACCTCAAGAACGGCAGTGCTGCGACAGGCCAGGAGAAAGCGGGCCCAGGAGCGGTACAGTCACCGTTTTACTCCGAGGTGAGCTGCAGAAGACTGAAGTCGGGCATGTCCCTCTACAGGAGGACTGCTCAAGCATAGTAAAAGAATAATCGGGGGACGATTTGGTGAAGTCTGTTTTAACTATATTAGGGCATTGTTGGAATATGTTGCATTGTTTCGCTCAAAACCCGCCTGGAGGAGGACATGCCAGACCTAACAGAAGACCCAAAGGGTCGTGCCTGGTTGCGGTCCGTCCGTCGCTCGGTCGCGATGCGCGAGGTCGCCGTCGTCGGCCGTCGTCGGGCGAGCGCCCGAGGCCCGGGTGTGGGGCGTGTCAGGTGTGGCTTCGCCGAGAGTTGCCGAGGACCTGACCGGTGAGGACTGCGAGGATCGGATCTGTCTTGTCCCAACAGGAGCTGATCGGCGAGGAGGACCTGATCGGTGAGGACCTGATCGGTGAGGATCGGACCTGATCGGTGAGGACCTGTTGGTGAGGACCTGATCGGCGAGGACTGTGAGGACTGCGAGGACCTGATCGGTTGTTGAGACTTCCTACGGCAGGTTCGTGTCGTGCCGACCCCAGCGTTGGTTTTTGACACCGCAGGGATCGTTCAACCTTGAACGATCGGCCGCTGCCGCAACGTCCGATCGTTCACCATCGATCGATTCTGGGTCGCCGGCGGCGTTCAACCTTGAACGCCCGCGCTGGGGTCGCCGCTGGTCGACACGACGCAAACCTACCGTAGGGCCCCCGCACGCTCGCTCCATTGCCCTCTCCGACGTGGGGATCTCATCGGCCAGATCGCCGTCGGCCTGCAAGTCCAGCAGCACCACAGCGCCGTCGTCCTTGGTGCTGGGGAAGGGGGCATCGATGGGGTCGCACGCCGCCGCCGCCGCCGCCTGACTCTGACGGCTGTCCGAACCGAGACGCTTGACGTGGCGATTGACGGAGGATTGCGCGGCCGGTTGGTGCTTCCTGCGCCGAAAAATCCTGCGGCTTCAGCGCCTCGACCTCGGCCTTTAGGCCATTGCCGGACTGAGGTCGGGCCTAACGGGCGCTGCCAATGGTATGGAGATTACATGATCGCCGAGCTTATCATTCCAGCATTGCTTCTGGTCAAAAGAGAAGACTCCCGAACGCATTGGCTGAGAACCATGCAGGGAACTGATCCCGTATTCGTCTGAGCCGTAGGGCTTTCGATGTCATCCGTCGAGACAGGGGACCCAAATTTCAGCTCCCTCCAGATATGCCGCCGACAACATGTTACCGGTACTGTCTAGCACGCATATGAGAGCCCCCTGGCTGACGGCGTCAGCAACATGCTTAAACTGGGTCTTCAGAATGCCTAGTACGCAAGAGGAAGACAGACCGACAGTGCAAGAAGATCCCAAACCATGCAGCACAGAAAAAAAAGCCAGCCAGTACAATCCCAGCAGACTTGTGTTTCACCTTTTGAGCTCACTCTGACCAAGGAATATGTGGACTGTTGCCTTCAGGCCAATCATGGAAGCTCGAATGCCCGCCTTTACCAATTCAAGATTTGACTTTGTGCCAAAAGCGGGTGATGCGTCAGGACTGTCAAACTTCCCCCAAACCGCATGCCCCAGCCGATGCTCCCCCAAAAGCCACATGCTCAAGTAGTAGTCCAACCCACAGCTATACTACAACGAAAAGACCGAGCACCTTCAATAACAATGATAACATTTCCAAGTCTGGTTCCGCAGCCACAATTAAAAAAACACCTCGTCCGTCCCCATCCACGGTGTGAACATTATGCAAACTCGCAATTCGTCCGATGCCCAAAATGCGCAGTAAAACAGGTAACAATCGGCGAAACCCAGCACGTAGGATTCTTACAACGATCCCACGTGACGCTTGCACGTGAGGAATTGCGAACGGCTCTCACTGTGGTGTCGGATTCCACTACCCGCGCTATAGTGTTGATGGAATCGATGGTGAACCCAGCAGGGGCTTCGGCAGCTTTCGTGACACAAGGTGAATCTAGTTCAGGTGCGCCGATCCTGAACGTGTGGCCAAGGAGGATCTCATAGATTAACACCCGCGGGCTGCAAGTGTCCAGCCCGTCGCACGTCTGCTCGGAATGTGTGGGCAAGTGTGCATCTGGGAAGCACGCCGATGACAGCTGCAAGTTCGAAGCACAATGGTCGGGGTCCGCGTGGCACCAGGGCTCATAGCACGACGCGGAAGGCTCGGCGTGCGCTTCGCCATCCGCGCCGTGTGAGAAACTCTGACGTGGCAGTAAGGAAGGGGGCTGGCGTCCCAAGCCTTGCTAGACGACGAGCCGTACTCTGTGGGGTAACGGTGCCTCTCGCCAGTCTCGTCCTCAGGGCCCTGAGTGCACTGCTCCTGGCGCTCCTGGGGGAGCAGAAAGATACTGACATCGCTGCCTCCCTGCCCTTTCCTGGAGCTCGCTCTAACCACATTTCAGAGATCATCCGGTCGCAATGACGAGGGCCCCCCCAGGAAGTCCAAACAGGCGAAAATGGAGATGGTACCACTGGTATCGGTTACGTTCTTCTCCCTTGAGCTCTGGGTCGGACCACATCGCCACTTCCACGTCGGCTCAGGCATTCATCCATGGGCAGTCTGCGCGACCGCCAGGAGTCACGCGCCGGCGAGAGGGCGCCCCGTAGGCAAGCCAACGCTCCCGAGGACGGGTCACGAGGCGCCAGTCTTCCAAGGCGAGCATCGCGTGAGAGGCGCGTGATCGCAACCTTCCACGGGCAAGACTGGCTGTTGTCATGACCCCCGTGAACTTGGGGAGTGTGGGGTCCTATTGGGAGCCTGGGTGCCTCAGGCCAGCAAGGAGAAGAGCCCGCCTGATAGATGGCAGAGAGAACTTGCGGGCAGGGTTTAGGGAGCTTTCTGTACGGGAGATCAAGGAGCGGTTCAAGGGCGCAGCCAGTAGAGAGGGGCTGATATACTGTACCCCTGGCATGTGGCTTCCTGTATTTTGACTGGGAGCTTTTGAACCGACTGCTGTATGATGAGAGCGCTCGCATCAGGGAAGTGTGGGTCATTGAAGTGTTAGACAGACCTGGTATGGCCGACCAGCCGCGCATGAGGAGGGCCCTCTCCGCCTTCGCGGGCTGGTTCAACGGCGAGGTCAACGTCCTCGCATTCCCCGCCCCGACACTCTTCGAGGAATTCATTGTGGGGATCCTGGAGGGAGAGCGAGCGCACGTGTTGATGAGTTGTGACGCGACCTCTGTGGGCGACCATGAAGATCGATAAGTTCAAGGCGTTAGCGCCGAGGCCTGGAGCCGGCGACACTGGAAGGCTCCGAGCAGTGAACCGGCTGGAGTGGAGGCCGAAGGCCATAGAGTGGAATCAGAAGATGAACCAGGTCTGGTTCGAGCGCAAGTGGACCGACGAGGGCAATTGCCACATTCACGAAGCTCCGAAAGAGGATTGCGAAAGTCTGCAATATGATTGGCGGCATGTACACCTCCATCTGTCAAAACGAGCTCCAAAGTCCAGCTGGCGAGTGCCTGCTTCACAGCTTTGTGAACGGCAGGGACAATAATTGCTGGGGCCACGGTGAAGCTTTCCTGTGGATCTGCCCTGGTATCAACCGCATCTGCCAACAGCTCGTCACTGGCTGCGTCGTTTGCTTCGTCCTCGAATTCGAAGAGGCCGTCGATCTGGGTCAAGAGGTCTCTGAAGGTCGCGATGTCGATGCAATGACCGTCCCGTTTCAAAAGCAAGGCCCGCACGTTTTCCAACTCTGCCTTTGCAACCTCGCCCTCGTCAATTAGATCTGCAACCTCAGAGATCTTGAGCAGGCCCTCGAAGGGGAGAAGGCCCCGCTGATCCCAACACTCCTGAAGAAGCCTCGCCACCTCTGTCCCGCTGCGCGCCATCTCATTTTTCGTCCGAAACCTCAGGGCATGTGAGGTCAGTTTCTCCTCGCAGACCTCGTCGGCCTGGTTTGAAAAACCGCAGAAATCCTCCAAGGCTGCAGGGCCCACGCGGCCCCAGAGCACCCTTGGCTCCTCGAGCGAGGCCACCTCCTCCTCCAACACCTGGCCCGCGATGCCGATGCGGGTGGCCTCCGGGAGCGTCACGAGCCCTCGGCCCTCGCTGGCCTCCTCGAACAACTGCACGACCTCCTCGTGCTCGTCGAAATCCTCCGGCATCCACATTCGGGAGCGGCCAAGACGGGGGTGTCCAAGAGGGAGGGGTGCAAATCATGACCGGCGGCATGTGCGCGGCCCTGCGGGGGGGCCAGGGACGTAATGGAATAAGAGGAGGCGCCATGAGATCTGGGGGAATATCATGGCCCCCGCCATGATATCCACCCCCCCTAGTCATCACCCCCCTCTTTTCCGCCCCCGACCCATGGCCGCCGCCAGCGCCGCGGACGACAGCGCGCGCCGGCCACCGCGCCTCCGCCCGGGCCGAATGGGGCCGCCGCCTGGGCCCCGCGGCGCGCCGCGCGGGCGGAGGCCGCAGGGCCAGCTGCCAGGGCCGCCGCCCGGGCGGCGAGGCGCTCCGGCCGAGGGGCCCACGGCAGGGCCGCGGGCCAGCCGCGGCCGCCGCCGCCCACGCGAGGGGCCGCTGGCGGCGGGCCATGCCGTCAGGTGCCGAGGTGCTGAGGCGGAGGCCGCAAGGTCAGCTGCCAGGGCCGCCGCCCGGGCGGCGAGGCGCTCCGACCGAGGGGCCCATCGCAGGGTCGCGGTAACGGCGGTTGTTATTGTTAACGTGATGGGCCGCTGGCGGCGGGCCCATCACGTTAACAATTCGAGCCTGTTTTCAATGTTACGGGATAGCGGCCGTCATCGGCCCCAACCCTGCGCCCAGATGACATCACGTTCCGCGTCGCTGGCGTCCGGGAAGTCCTGCGGATGACCAAGGCCACATAGGAGCAGCATGTGAGTGGCGATCTGCACCACAGTGCCTGTGTACAGCGCAGTGATCGCGTGCACCACAACGCGCGTGTACACCACAGCGCCTGTGTACACCGCGACAGCCGTCTGCAACGCAGCGTCTGTGTACATCACAGTGATCGCGTGCACCACAGCGCCTGTGTACACCACGGTGAACGTGTACACCGCAGCAACCGTGTGCAACACAGCGCCTGTGTACACCACAGTGCTTGCGTGCACCACAGGCCTGTGCACACCACAGCGCCTGTGTACACCACAGCATCTGCGTGCGACGCAGCGCTGGTGTACACCACAATGCCAGGACAAGTAGAAGGAACATGTTGGTGAGGATCTGCTGCGGACAGCGAAACAACACACCAAAGAAATACTCATAATAAAATGCGATTTGTTTTGTCCGTTCTTTCTCCTCTTACACCACTTCCCAATCCTCCTCCATCACCCTTCCCCCCGTCGTGCGGATCGGCGCTACAGCATACGTGCGCATCTCACTGTGCACCGCGTAGTAGTCTCTTGCATCGGTCCACTTGGTTCTCGGACGGCGAATCCTGCGATAATCTCCTGGACGCAGCTGGGAGGAGGTAAGATGATGCGGGAAGATTCGGGAGGGTTCGTGGATTCCAGCGGCACTCTTTTGCTCAACAATATTCACACGGTTGCTGTGGTGCACACGAGTGCCGTGATGTACACATTCGCTGTAGTGTACACAGGCGCTGTGGTGCACGCAAGCACTGTAGTGTACACAGGCGCTGCACTTCACACGGTGGATACGGTGTACACGAACGCTTTGGTGTACGCGCGCGCTGTGGTGCATGCGAACACTGTGGTGTACACAGGCGCTTTGGTGCAGATCGCCACCTACATGCTGCTCTATGTTGCCATGTACATTCCTTCTTAAAACTCTTATGTTGCTGTGGTGCACACAGGCGCCGTGGTGTACACAGGCGCTGTGGTGCACGTACCCACTGTGGTATACACTGGTGCTGTGTTGCGCACGGCTAGTGTGGTGTATGCAGGCGAAGTGGTGTACACAAGCGCTGCGGTGCATGCGGGCACTATGGCAAACACTGGCGCTATGTTGCACGTGGCTGCTGTGGTGTACGTAGGCGGCATGGTGTAAACAGGCGCTGTGGTGCGCGCAGGCAGTGTGTTGTAGACAAGCGCTGTGGTGACGATCGCCACCTGCATGCTGCTTCTATCCGTCCTCGGTCATTCCAAAAAGCATTCCCAGACGCCGTCGGCGCGAAACGTGACGTCATCGGCCCCTTCCCCCTCCCCAGATGACGGCCGCCATCGGCCCAGAATCAAAAGATGACATCCTCTTCAGTCCAAACGCGCAAGGGTGCTATCTGAAAGTTGCAGCCGTCTGACATCCACCATCCACACGGGCCACGGCACCCATAGGTATCGTTCGGAAGAAGTCGGTGGAAACATAACGTAGGAGAGCAGTTAAAGTGGATTGGCCTGCGGCCCGCCCAAGAAATAGCCGCCCTAAAGACGGAGTCGATTGGTTTTTGAAGTAGAATGCGCTTCAACTAGTTTAGCAGTGTGGTCGCAGGTCTTCCGACTTTTTCGTCCAGACGATGTCAGGACGGTATACGATGACATAGAACATCGCCACAACGATTGAAAATCGAGCACAAAAGAATCGCGCGACAAGAAACATAAATGATAACCATGGGATAACTACATACATGACTAGATCAGCCAATCGAAGGCGACATAACGCGACGTGGGAAAGCGACGAAAGACAATCAGATGGTATCATACCAAAACAGACGATAGAGTGGAGAAAAAATCGATGTAAGACGATACAACCCAATATAATACTAACTTCCACGATACCTATACGACCACCCTGCGGATGATAAGAAGGTTTGGGGGGGGCAGCAATGGGCAAAAGTGGAGATTGTTGTTCTGACGATTCCTGAAGGCGGAGTCTAGTGAGTAGTGTGACTGTGCACGTGAGCGTTTCCGCGCGGGACATCGGCGGGACACCGCGCGCCACCGGCCGCCGGAGGAGAATCATTTGGTCCGGCCGCGGCCCAGCCACAGGAGGATTGCGGGACAACAGCGGGACATCGGCGGGACACCGCGCGCCACCGGCCGCCGGAGGAGAATCATTCGGTCCGGCCGCGGCCCAGCCACAGGAGGATTGCGGGACACCAGCGGGACACTGGCGGGACACCGCGGGCCACTGGCCGCAGTCGGAGAATCATTCGGTCCGGCCGCGGCCCAGCCACAGGAGGATTGCGGGACACCAGCGGGACACCAGCGGGACACCGCGGGCCACCGGCCGCAGGAGGAGAATCATTTGGTCCGGCCGCGGCCCAGCCACAGGAGGATTTCCTCTCGCCCGCCCACGCAGCTTCGCCTCGCCCGCACGCACGCACGGCACGCACGACATGAACCCGAAAGCGAAATCGATTTCCCGGTAGGGGGGGTCTGCGTTTTACGTCGAACTCACCCCCCAACATTCGATAATACCATATAGGACAACATAACATGAAATAGCACGATGCAAGGCAACAAAATAACATAGTGCGAGGGGGAATGAACTCCTCCACCTCCGCTCCCTAAAGGCATGCAGGCGCTTCCGGAAGCCTCGCACACAAGCGCGCACAACACTCACACACATTCAAAACGAACTCCCTCCTCCCCCCTCCGGACGAGCACGCGCACACGCATATACGCACCTATTCACACAAAAGCGCACATGCACAACAACACGCACACACACACACACCACACCGACAAGCACACGCACACACACACATTCAAAACACACGAACTTCTCCGCACCTTCCGTGACCCCACCCGGACTTCCATCGAAGGCCCCCAGCGGTATGGTCCGCACGCGCCCGCCCGCCCAGTTCGGCACACATATCTCACGAGGACCGTGGCCCGAGAGGCAGCTCCACCGAATGCCCCAGTGGCAGGGTCTGCATTCGTCCCCCCGCCCATTTCGGCACACCCCTCATGAGGATCGTGGCCTCATAGGGAGCTCTAACGAAGGCTTCAGTGGCAGGGTCCGATCACGCATGAATATTGCAGCGTCTTGACTGTAAAATCCACCTCTTGGACAGGAACCGACCGTCCCAGCATTTCTACAGGCCCACCACGAGATGTTCTTCGAACAGAAAGATGTTCTAAGAACAGAAGCAATGGTCTTAGAACATAAACCCGAGGTGTTAAAACAAGACGGTCCCAGCCAGAACTGTTCTAAGATCATGTCGTGGGAACCACAAAGGGTTCTTAGAACATTGCTTGCTGCCTATAGGCACGCCAAGACGCTTCGTCACTGCTTGAACCTCCTCCTCCCTGGGTCGCTCCCAGCTCCCAGACCCTCTGTGCTTGGGCTGGCCACGTCCGGCATGCAGAAGATCTTGTCGAGCAGCAGGCAGTTCCTGCCCGGGCCCGGGCCCCCCGCGTTCGAGCGCCAGCGCGACGGCGGCTTGACATGCGCGCTGCCCCCTGTACAAGTCTTTCAGAAGGAGAGGCGGCCACGGACAACAACAGCAACAGCAACAACATCACAGCAAACAAAAAAAACAAACACACCAACAAGCACAACAACAACAACAACAAAACCAACAACAGCATCATCATCAACACCAACAACAAAACACCACAAGAGCAACACTAACAACAGCAACAGCACCAGCACCAACACCGCCAACAACAACAACAACATCAGCAACAACAACAGTAGCAGCAACACCAACAACAATAACCTTAAGTTTAAGACTGGTCGTTCGTATCTGCCAGCGTGATATTCATCACGTAAATCCCAAGCCCTCGACATCCGCCCTCTTCGTCTTCGACCGTACCCCCCTTAGGGATATATCGTTCTTACCTGCTAGGTGAATTTAGCGCAGCAGGGAAAGGATGGAGCACGAGAGAGAATAGCAGGATTGGGGCTTAGAGCAGCAACCACCTGGCAGAACCAGGCGGGCAAACCAGGCGGGTAGACCCACATGGGCGGGTCGGGAAGGCGGGCCCAGACGGCCAGGTCGAGCAGGCGGGTTGCTGAAGCGTGATTACTGCATGGATCGCGAGGGAGTCTCGAGCGATAGCGCGGCTCACAAATAAATCGTGAGGGTATCCACAAGGAGAGCGTGGCTCCCAAGTGTCGAGGGGCGCGGCGATTTCATATATTGCAGGGAAGCCCCATGCGAGAACGCGATTCCTGCATACATTGCGAAGACTTCCTGCAGGAGAACGCGACTTCGGAACTAATGATGAAATATCAGGCAGGAGCCTTTGTTGTAAACCGGGGGCCAGGGGCGCAGTTTGGTGACACTTCACGTGCCCTTGCACAAACAAGCAGGGTGCGAGCCCCGGAAGAATCCAAGACCAACAACAACAGCAGCACCAACAACAACGACACCGACAACGCCAACGACGACGCCGACAACAACCACAACAACAACAGCAGCAACAACAACTAACACCACAATAACAACCACAACAATAACAGCATCATCAACAACACCACACACACAAAACAACAACAACAGCAACAACAACAACAATAACAACACCAATTACTAGCACGTGGGGACACTCCGTTCTCACCAGTGCCAGGGTTTTCATAGGAGGCGGGCAATACCCCCACTTTGTGGGGGGGCCGGTTCAAGCTCTACCAAATTTCCAAACGACTCTTCGCCACCACCCACACCCAGCTTCCCGCCCTATGACGTTCGGACACTTCACTTCGTGGCATGCGGACGACCGTGGCTACTATTCAGGGCCCCGCGGCCGACGACGACGGCGTGCGCGCGCGAAGAAAAAACGAATGTGTCCCGCATGGTGTTATTTGACAGGGATGATGGCCCTGGCAGGTGCGCAACCGTTGTTGCAGAAGTTCGAAAAAGTTGCTCGCAAAAGCCCGTTTGACAGAAATGTCTAAAAAATGTCGGGTTCCCTACGAATCCGCAAGAGCGCGCGGGATGAAATGTTGACATTTTTTTTGTGAAAAACCATCGGGTTTTTGATGTTTTTATGTTAAAATCGCTACGAAAACTAAGGTTTTGGAAGGATTTCGTCTTGCGCGCGCGAATGTTCACTTTACCTTAATTTTGCAAGGGGTTCTTGAAGTTTGGATATGTTAGAACAAACAATGTCCACTTTAGCTTATTTTTTGCAAGGGAAAACCGATCGTAACAACACAACCGGATCCGGACCAACCCGTTTTGCCTGAGACTTCCTCACGAAAATGATGAAAACGTGGCTGCGGCCTAGGCGCGGCGGGGGGGTCGCGCACCAGGGGCCCCAACAATAATTATTCTTTAGAAGTAATAATGTTCAACAACACGAATGATAACAACAACAACAACAACAACAACAAGAGCAACAACAACAACAGCAGCAACAACAACAGCACCAACAACATCAACATCAACAACAACAAACATAACGAACACAACAAAAAAAACACCACCAACAGCAGCAGCAGCAGCAACAACAACAACAAACACAACAGCAGAAACAACAACAATAACAAACACCTCGTGGGGCAAGTCTTCGAAGGTAGATTCTCAGAAGGACCTTGGTCACCAACAAGAACCTCATTGGGCAAGCCATCGAATGCAATCGCACCTCTCTCCCTAGGATCGGCCTGGCAGCCGAGACTTTGGGATTCCAACCCAACTGGGCGACCATATAGACTCCAGAGCCTAAACCCTAACCCGGTCCGCCAACCGTCCCCCCGCAGGGCAGAGGGGGGGGGAGGCGATGCGGGCGCGGGAAGAGGAGAAGGGGGGGAAGCCCGTTTCTCGGAGGCAACTACTGGGAGGTCTTCGTCGGAAAAGATAACGAGGATTAAGCCCCATTGGGGGGCCACTGCGCCGGATTAGGCCGCGGATTGAGCGGAATTGAGCCAGATATTTGGCGGGACTAAGCCGGATGAGGCGGGATTGAACCGGATTCAGCTGGATCTCGGACCAGGGCAGAATCAGAATTTTGACCTCCCAGGAGTGGCATCCGAAGCGTTCCGACGGGGAACGCCTTTAGCGCGCGGCAGTAAAGTCGAGTCGATGCGAATATGCTCGTGCGGCCCCCGCAGCGTCGCCAAAAGCACCGCGCCGCCCACCGCGGTCGACGGCGTGGCGCCCGGGAGCCGCGCTTGAGCGGCTGTCGTGAGGAGCCGCCGACCTGTCCGTGAAGAGCGGGGGCCCCGCTGGAGGCCCTGGCTTGGCGTGCGTAAAAGGGGCCGTGGGACACACAAGTAATTGGATACACATTCCAGGATTCCCACACATCTTCTCAAGAGGCTCGTCTTCCCCCCCCACCACCACACTTCCCATAGTTTCCCATATCTTCCTGGGGATCGATGATGAATTGTGTCTGTGTGCTTTTCCCCGCCTGAAGGAAGGGAGCGGGTCCTGGGCACAGCGGCCCCCTCTCAAGGCCAGCTCTTCCTCCCGAGCCTGCTGTTGACCGTCCAGGGGCCCTGGGAGGGGAGGGAATAGTAAGAGAGTTTTACTCATAAGACTAGGAAACACTGTAATTCACATCCATGAAAGTAAGAACAATACCAGTAAAGGGCCCCCAAAGCCCGAAAGGGCGAAAAGCCCTGGGGCCCGTGCCGTTCTCAGGTTTCAGGACCCGTGTGCGAGTGACGCTCAGACGTATGAGGAGCGCCAGCAGAAGAGCAGTGCAAGGACCTCGTCAAGACCTTTTGATTGGCATGTCGCGGCGGTCCCCTCGGCGACACGCTATGCCCTGCGTCCTGACAGCGTGTCACTCCGCACCGCGGGGCGAGAGGCTGGGAAGAGCTCTGGGCGTTGACGCTAACGGGGACGCAGTCAGCGTGTCGCGCCGAGGCGCGGTGGGCCAAAACTGTTGGAGCGACACGCGAGAAGCAAGCACACACTGTTGCTCAACGTGCCGCGGCGGCGGCCCAGGCGACACGCTGCGCCTCACATGCGGACGGCGTGACGCGATATGCTTTGTGGGGCGGGCGGCCGGGGAAGGCTCGGGGCGTGGCGTGCTGAACGCGTCGCGCCGGGGCGTGGCGGGGCAGCACCGGCGGCGCGACATGCTGAGCAGTTGTCTTCTTCCGTTTTCAACAACCCCCTTACAGTAGAGGCCCGTCCACAAGAACCCTTCCCCCAAAAAACCCAACCCTGAGACCCCAGGAAGTCCATCGATCTCTGGTGTGGGGACGTCACGCGCTCCATCGCAAAACCAGCGAAACCCAAGAAGCCCAGGGCACCCTTGGGGCGAGCAGGGGGTTTCTTGGCATGGCCCCCCGCTGTATGGCCTGTTTTTGTTTCACGGAGCCCTTTCGGAGGGCCGCGGGGAGGGGGGGTTGAAGGGCAGGCTCGCCTGACCGCAGGCGGGGGGGGGAGGCGGATCCTGAAGACGGCCCTGTGTTCCCTCGACGGCAGACGTGTCCATCGTGCCCGCAGCCGTTGGCACGCCTGCCTGCCCGTGGAGGAGGGGCCCGAACATCAGGGCACCGCAGCAGTTCTTGCTCAGCGGGGGGGGGAGCGTCTGCTAAGGGATCTCGGGCAGACCGAGAGTGGGATCGTTTCGTGTGGCGGTGCTCGCAGGCGGCCCCGAGCGCCAGCGTGCGACGACATGCTTCCACCAATCTCGAGGCACTGCCAGGCGCACAGCAACAGCACCGAGCAGCACGACCTGAACATGTCACACCCTGGGGCTCACCGCGCCCAGCTCGGAGGACTCTGTGGTAGGGGAAGGAGGCGATCACGGCGGCGTCGATGGGCCAGGCTTGCCCACAGGGCCGCTGCCATGCTCGCGCAGTGCGCTCGCCGATCTGGGCTTGGGGCTCGGCGCAGCAGACGGCGCCAGCGCGAAACGTGACGCCACCTGCCCCGCCCACCCCAGCTCCCCCCAGGCAAAGCCCGTCGTCGCCCGGGAATGACAACCCAAAACAAAACAAAAACTCCCCTGGGCCCTGGAGCCCTCCCCAGTCCAACCAAGCCCAGCTTCGGCGTCGTCGGGGGCTTGCCTGCCGTGGCCGTCTGCGGGGCTCCCTGGGCCGGCCCACCAGGCTCGGGCTCCAGCCAGCGGGCTCCAGTGGTCGGTGCTGGGGCGTGCAGCTGTTGCCCCACTGGCCGCACGAGCGTGCAGGACGGCCCGAGAGGATGTCGCACGAGCAGCACAAGCTTGCCCCGAGAGGCCTCCTATCGGGTCCAGGAGGCCCCGAAGGCGGCCCCGAGGGAGGGGCCCCAAAAGCGCGTTGAGCCGCCGCACCGCTGGAGGGCCGAACCTCCCCTTCACGAGCCTACGACCCTCAAGAGGCCCTCGGGAGGCCCCAAGACGCACCCAAGCGGTTCACACAGGACTCCAGGATCTCTCCACGGAACCCACCAAGAGCCCCCCAGAGGTCCTCAATGCCTTCGGACATGCCGCTTGTCCCCCCCCCGACTCTTGCGCTTAAGCTGTTCTCTTCCAAGGGTCCGGCAGGAGTCATACGATAATGGGAATGACAAGGACGACGCCGAGGGTGACTACGAGTATGCCGCTGTAGATCTCCGCTGTAGAACATTTGAGTCCTCCATTCAACCCCTCCTCCCCATCTGCCTCACTCTTACCCTCCCCCTGCCCCTCAACATGCACTCCATGCTCATGCTGAACGTCCTCCTCAATGCTTCTCTTCTGCCTGCTTCTCCTCCTCGTCCCCATCCTCCTTTTCCCCTTCTCTTTCCTCCTGCTCCTCCTCCCCCGCCTCCTCTTCACTCTCCTCAGGACGTCGGTTGGACTCGTCCTCCCTCTCCTATCTCCTCCTCTTCCTCATCGATACCTTTAGCATCATCACCACCTGTCCAAACCATGACTTCAACAAATTATCAAGCACAAAATATGTAATGAACATCGCAAACCTTGAACGACCAACAAACCGCAATCCCTCTCCATTTCCCCCCTCCCTCCCACCATCCATAAATACATCCTCCTTCTCCTTCTCCGCGCTACACCCCGATTTGTTCTCCTCATCCCATACGTCCTCCGTCATTCTTCCTCCCTCCGTCCCTTCGTCTCTGTCCCCTCCGTCCGCTGTCCTCCCTCAATCCTCGGGCCACTCCTTCCGTCATCCCTCCCGTTCCCTCCTCACCCTTTTTGGTCCGTCGTCCCAACTCCCTCCTTCCTCTTTTCTTCTCTCTACCCCTCCCTCCCCTCCTCTTCCTCCTCCTCCTCCTTCTCCTCCTCCTTCTCCTCTTCCTCTTCCTCCTTCTCCTCCTTCTCCTCGCTCCTCCTGTGTTCCCCTCCTCCTCCTCCTCCTCCTGCTCCTTCTCCTCCTCCTCCTAGCTCCCTCCACCTCGTTCTCCTCCTCCTCCTCCTCCTCCTCCTCCTCCCATCGCCCACCTCCACCCCCCCCTCCCCTCAAGTGGGCGTCGTCGGCTACGGAGCGGACCTGGTCGTCCGACAAGGTCCCAGACACGAAACTGCCGGAGGATGTGCCGGGGGGGCTCCTGGTGCGGGACAGGCTGAGGAAGATCGGACGAACTGCGGGGAATCGGCTCCTTCCTGCACCACAAGCTCGAACGTGTACGAACACACACGTACAAGCACGTGCATCCTGCACTCAACCTGTCGGCGATCTGACAGCCACAGGGGGACGGGGAGGAACGCGGCAGCAAGCACGCCAAAAAGTCATCGAGCTGACGGCAGCACCGTTGAGCGAGGAGCAAAAGGGACTTTTCTGACCACGGCGGGCCTCGGCAACGAATAGCTTCCACGTTCTACCGCGCGCTCGCTCGCTCGCGGGGGCAGCCCGAGCCATGAATGGGTACGAGCTTAGGGTAGGCAGAGGACGACGACGCGGAGAGCGAGAAGGACGGGGCGAGGAGGAGGTGGAGGTGCAGGAGACCACCGCAGCTAGAAGAGTCCTCGTCCGTCGTCCGTCCTACCTCATCCCCTGGGCGCACCTGCTGAAGGTCGAAGGTCGAAGGCCGGCGTGCGCTGGAGCGCGCCCTGCTCGGGCTGCCGGAACGCTGCTTCTCACACGTTCTCTCACTCCCAACTTCTTAACTGCTGATGACGTCGTCGGTCCAACGTTTCAGCGGCCGGCCTGGCGCCCGGCGCCCGGCCAGCGCACCTGCGGATAGGAGGAGGAAGGACTGGGAATGCCACTGGGTGCGGCCCTGAAGAGGGCGAAGCGGCAGGCCGCCTCCGACGTCGGAGCCGGCGCCGAGCGCAGCAGAGGCCTGGGCAAAACCGCGCGCCCGGCCTCTCGCACCGTCTCCACGTCGCTCGCCATCGCTCGGACGTTCCTTCCGTGTGTTTTTTGTTCGGTGTCGTGCGTGGCTTTTGATCGCCAAAAGAGCAAGGATGCTCCTCGATGGTCCTCGCCGAAGAAACAATGCACACGTGCGAGCGATGCCGAGGTCGTCCTCCCGCAGCCCGAGGCTCTTTCGCACGTGGAGCCGCGCCGTGCGCTCCCCCCTCGAGTGGCGCTCCCCTGGGCCCCTTCTGCTGCCCTTTTTGCACGCAGCTGGCTGCCGCCGCCCGGCTGCCCAGCTGGTCCGCGGCCAGCTCCGCCTGCTCGTCGAATTCCAGGGCGGCGGGGCCCACGAGCTTCTCCGCCTGGTGGCCCGCGCAGTCGTGCGGACCTCGGGTCATGTTGCCCCCGTCGTACTTCAGGGCCACATCCCAGACATAGGTTCGAGCACCTGGAAAAGTTTGGAAACAATGTCAAACAACAGTGTCGACACACAGTCGGGCAAGTGTCTCCCAGGGCCCGACACGTGAAATCCCTCAAGTTTCGGAACTTTCTTGGTGCTCGAAAATATTCCTGGTGGTCAAGGCTACAGTAGGTTGGAGCATCGTAAACCTCGGGCCTCTGTACGACCCCGCACCGCAAGAGCGCATGACCTTGCACCCGCCACGCGTGCCTGGCCTTAGGTCGGGCGTGTCCCCCTACAGGCGGATTTCGAAGGACAAATGGAAATAATCAAACATGCACAAAACATCAAACATACACAAAACATCAAACATACACGAAGCATCAAACAAGGACATCGCCCCCAGACTGTTGTTGAATTTTTGTGGAGCAGTTCCCCTGTGCTGGGACAGGCCCGACTGCAGCCTGGCCAGCGCGGGCTCGTCCAGGTCGACCGTGAGGGTGCCGTACGGCAGCCCGCGCTGCGCCACCTCGCCGGGCTCAAGGACACGGCCGAGCAGTCAGCGCCCCTCAAACGGGGACTCCACTAACGGGTACTTTGGCCAGTGACCCAGCGAACCCAACCCTTCCCGATGTGGGCAAAGCTGCAATGCAAGAAAGAGGCCCTAAAGTGGCAACTTTCGGCAACATTTCAAAGTACCCGTTAGTAAGTATCCGTTACGGTGCCGTTGAAGCAGCTCTGCATCACAGCCGCCGGCTGCAGGGCCCGATCGCCGTGGCCCCCCAGGCAGGCAGGGCCCCAAGGCCGCGCCGACGGCCTGCGCCGGATGAACGGTGCGGTTAGGAGCCTAGGGCTCCCAACTTCGCGCTTCGCGCTCCGCGAAGCGCGCCTGAGGAACGGTGCGGTTACTAGGGCTCCCAACTTCGCGCTTCGCGCTGCGCGAAGCGCGAAGCGCGAATAACTTCGCGCTCTCGCGCCGCCCCCCCAAAGGGAGAATAGGAGGACGAGGAGGAGGGGGAGAAGGAACGAGGACCGCGAAGCGCGAAGCGCGAATAACTTCGCGCCCTCGAGGGAGCCCTTGCGGTTAGGAACCTGCTTTTTGATGGCACCGAGCTGACGCAAAACAACATGTAGGACATCACGACCGACCGCTTCCTACATCTCAACTGTGCGAACACATCGAGCGACAACGGCACAGCAAGCTGCAGGAGGACGCGGACAACGCGCTCCTTCGGTTGGCTTGGCCACGAACCACGCCTTCCTACAATTGGTTCTCCTACTTCGCCGTCAGCTGACACAACGTCAGCGCGTCTACGGAAGGTGCACCGAGCCGACCGTCGGCCGGCAGCAAGTCGCCCAGCACCTGCGGGGCGCCGCCCTGGCCTGCCCCGCCACGTCTGCGAGGGCCGCAGGCGGGCGCCGCAGGGCATCGCCATGGTTCAGCCGAGCACCGCGGCCACACGAGGCCTCCAGAGAGCCTCTCCAGCACGCCCACGAAGCCTCCAGAGAGCCTCTCCAGCACGCCGCCTCTTCGGCGAGAAACGGGGCCCAGCGCGGGCTGCGGCTGGCGTCCGCGTCGGCGCTCGTCGCGTGCCCGAGCGTCTTGTGGGCCCCGAGCGTCTTGGGGAGGGAGGGCGAGGAGGGAGGAGGGAGGAGGGACGAGGAGGAAGAGGAGGATGAGGAGGAGGAGGAGGAGGATGAGGAGGAGGAGGAGGAGGAGGAGGGGGGGGGGGAGGCGGAGGGAGGAGGAGGAGGACTGAAGACTGAAGACTGTAAAAAGACGATGTCTTCCCAACAAGCAGACCAAGGAACGGTGAGAAGACCACGTCGGCCGTGACTCGCTGCCCGCACGAGACGGCTCGGTGCGTAGGGTGGCATGGTCCCCTGAAGCCTTCACCGTTATTTCAGGTTCCTCGGCCAGGAAAACCACGACCAACCCTGCCGAATCGAGCGGCATGCGCAGCTGGACTGTACGAATACGACACGCCCAGGGCGGGTGGACACAAGGTCCCATGGGGTTCACGGGCCACACGACCCCACCTCCCGACCAAGAGGGAGGAGGAGGAGGAGGAGGAGGAGGAGGAGGCACAGCGTTCCCCTGGAGGAGGAGGAGGAGGAGGAGGAGGAGGAGGAGGAGAACAGGAGGAAGAGGAGGAGCGCCGCCCAGAAGAGCCTCCACAGGCGGGGCATCGCGTCCGAGCCGCGGGGATCCCAGCCCCAAGGGCCGCCTGCCAGCACCCGCAGCGCGTGGACGCAAGCTGGAGCGGGGCCACGGCCCCCATCCCGACAGCGTGGGCGCAGGCCTGAACGCCGCCGCCGCCAGGTGGCCGAAGCGGTCAGCCTGGAGCACGGCTCATTTCAGCGTGTTACGGCCCAGGGAGGCGAGTCCTTCACGAGCCGCCGTCCAGGAACAGGCGCGCAGGGAGCCTCCCTGAACTGGGCAAACATGGATCCATGTGATGTCGCCCTCAGCTAAAGGGGCCCAGGGACACACAAATAAATGCACACAAATACCAGGATTCCCATACTTCCCAATATATGGTTGATGTTCGTCTTCCCCCACTTCCCATATTTGCCCATACTTCTCCTGGGGATCGACGATTCGTTGTGTCGGTGTGTTTTTTTCACTCTTGCTTAGCGCCTTTCCGCTGGAAAAAGCAGCGGGGGTCTGGCCAACAGACCTCTGCAGAATCGCTCCCCCGCCTCTACGCTCCAGTGCGGACGAGAGCTATCAGGTCGCGGCGCAGCCCGGCATGGGCGGGCCACCCGTCCTGGCGGTGCTAAAGCAAAGGCTCCTCAAACCGCAACAGCACAGCCTGCAGGTAGAGGGGCCCACCAGGCCATGTGCCAGAAAGGCCAGGGCACGGATGGCCCCCTGCTGACTCTTGCCCCAGACGTGCGTCTTGCCCCTGAGGAGTCTGCGCAGCGGCGTCCAGAAGATCGGCTAGACGGGGAGGGCCTCCACCCCGCGAACTAGGGCCCGGCCAGTGAGGGCCTCCACCCCGCGAGCGAGGGTCTTGCCAATGACCCTGAGCGCTAGCCTATCGAAGGCCCACACTGCGGTGCGCTTGACCTCCTCCTTCACTTGGCGAGGCCCCAGCCGCAGCAGGTCGAATACCATACTCTCGCCATTGCACATCGCGAAGGGCTCTTCTGACTCCAAGCCCAGCCTCCGGGCCACCCGAAGGGCAGCGTACGTGGGCGTGCACGCCGTGCGCCAAGTTTGCTGGCCGAGGCAAGCGCGCTGGACAACGACGTCCAAGGTGACCTCCATCACGCGGCTCTGCACCTGGTGCTCACAAAACGCCATCGCCCACATGAACAGGATGAGGAGGAGGAGGAGGAGGAGGAGGAGGAGGAGGAGGAGGAGAGGAGGAGGAGGAGGGGAGCGGGATGGGGAGGCGGAGGAGGAGGGGGAGAGGGGAGGAGGAGGAGGCGAAGGAGGAGGAAGAGGATGAGGAGGCGGAGGAGGAGGAGGCGGAGGAGGAGGAGGAGGAGGAGAGGAGGAGGAGGAGGAGGAGGAGGAGGAGGAGGAGGAGGAGGAGGAGGAGGAGGTGGGGAAGGTGGAGGAGGAGGCAGAGGAGGAGGAGGAGGAGGAGGCGGCGGAGGAGGAGGATGAGGAGGAGAGGGGGAAGAGGGGGGGGGGGGGGGGGCACATCCATGGAATGCAGCACAAGCGCGTCGGTCGCCCTGGTGGCGGGCGTGCAGCCGCAAGCCTGGCGAGCGGCCCTCGGGCACCCGCTTCGCCGCCGCTGCGGCCTGGGACCCTGCGGCCGGGCAGCGGCCCATCGGCCAGGCCCGCAGCACCAGCGGCGCCCCAGTGGCGAGGCTTGGCCCCCGTGTGATGGGCTGCTTCCCACCACCACCACCACCATAAGTTGGAAGAGGGGAAGAGGTGGAGGAGGAGGAGGAGGAGGAGGAGGAGGAGGAGGAAGGAGGAGGAAGAGGAGGAGGAGGAGCCCCTCCCCCTCCTGCTCACTTTCAGTGTCGTGGCGGCCGTGGAAAACGAGCCCACCACACTGCGCCGCGTCATGCCTGCGCCGCCCAGGCCGCCGCGCCGCAGGTGCGCGCGGGCTCCCGCGCGGGCGGGCCTGCGCGCCCCCGGGCCGCCTGCGTTGGCGACCGAGCGCCCGGCGGAGAGAGCGCGGTTCGTGCCCGCCGCCTTCATGATGGGCACCCTTTTTTTGGTCGTGGCCGCGGGCGAACGCGCAAACGGCGAGACGTAAGTCCGGGGCACGGGCCTACTAATTGACATCAGCAAACTAGAGCCGCACACCTAAACTGCCTAAGTTGCCTAAGCGGCGCCTCGCGTGAGCTGCAAGCTGCACTGAGTGTAGATGCTAGGGCCAGGAGCAGAAAGCGCCCACACAGATGATGGGCACCCGCGCAGACACCAGAAAGGCCCACGACGCCTGGAGATGCTCGTCCAGCGCCGCGTTGGAGGCGAGGCACTTGCACTTGCGGGGGCGAGCGGCAACTCGAGCTCGTCAGAGTCCCTGAAAAGGCTGTCCGCGAGGGCCGTCCCCCGGGCCGCCACCCGCCACCAGGTCGCGGGTGCCCGTCACGTTCACCACGACGTCGTCCACGATGTTGCGAAGCGGGACGGAAGGCCCGGCTACGCTCGCCCTCGTGCTGTGGAGCAGTGGGCGGGGCAACGCTGTGGCGCCGCTGCAGTCCGCCGCGATGGCCGCCCGCGCCGCAAAGCTGCTGGAGATGCACCCCTCGAAGAATACTGCCCGCCATCCCGCATAGATGCAGCAGAGCTCTCGAACTGCTTTGAGCGCGAAGAGGTGCACCTCGGCCGCATCAATACGAGGAGGAGGAGAAGAAGGAGGAGGAGGAGGAGAAGGACGTTGAGGAAAGCCAGGATGACAGAGACGATGAGGATGAGTGGGGGAGATGGCGGGGTCGGCAGGTCTCCTGTGGGCGCTCATGCCGAAGCCCTCGGCCAGCGTGGCGAAGTCCGAGTCGGGAAGTCCCTTCTGCACCGCGAGGCGGGCCTCCCCTGGCCTCCGAAGACGGGAGCCATTGACCGCGGCGACGACGGCGACGACGACGCTGGCGCAGGCGCAGGCGGCGGCGGATGCGACGACGACGACGACGACGACGAGAAGGATTACGACGCAAACAACGACAACGACAACCGACGACCAAGCTATTTGGGACTCAACAGTACCCAGAGATGAGATATGCAGAGTCAGGGTGCCAAGGAAGAGGCTCTTGTGAACCTCGGCCCAGGCTGCTCATGTGGCAATCGTAAGGGAGCAACTCCTGACGAGATGAGACAGACAAGCCTCCCGAGTCCGTCATACACCAGGCGGAGAGAAGGAACAAGGGAGACCACGCTAGCACTGCAATGTTGTCGGGCTCGAGCCGGAGGGTGGGAAGGCAGCCCTGTCGAACGACAGTCATCCTCCTTTCCTCCCTGGCGCAACGGGGAAGCTGTGGAGCGGACCAAAGCAAAAAATGAATCAGCGCGTGAAGACACTCAATTTTGATTGCACAGCGGCGTTCAAACAAATTCGAAATTACTGTTTGGAAGCGGTGAAGCGGTTGGAATGACTGGCACGGTTCGTCGTATGACTGGTGAGGCAGCACAGCGCACTAAAGGACATCCAGCACGGGCACAAACGTTGCTTGCAGAGCAAACGCCATCCACAAGTGCTAAAGAAACCACAGCTCCTCTTCAACCCCCACGCCCCCCATTCAGACCCTCGCCCCTCTTAATCTGGCAGCTCCTCCTCGTTATCCCCATTATTCCTCCCCTTCCTCATGGCAGGCGGCATCTATCTATCTCTATATCTATCTCTCTATATATAATATATATATATATATATATATATATATATATATATCGGAAATTGGGGGTGAGATCGCAAGAGAATGGAGACCCCTAACCCGGAAATCGTTTCGTTTCGTTCGTGTCGTGCGTGCGGGCGAGGCGAAGCTGCGTGGGCGCGCGAGAGGAATGAACCCGCCGCTGCTAGGGCGAAGTCAAGACAAATGGTTCTCCCCCTCCCGCCCGTACGGCGGTGGCTCGCGGTGTCCCGCGGTGTCCCGTGGTGTCTGGTGGTGTCCGCCGCTACTAGGGCGAAGTCAAGACAAATGATTGTCCCCCTCCCGCCCGCTCGGCCTTGGCTCGCGGTGTCCCGCGGTGTCCCGTGGTGTCCCGCGGTGTCCCGTGGTGCCCACCCTTGGTTGCTAGGGCGAAGTCAAGACAAATGATTCTCCCCCGCCCGCCCGTCCGTCCGTCCGTCTGGCGGTGGCTCGCGGTGTCCCGTGGTGCCCCGTAGTGTCCCCTGGTGTCCTGTTGAGTGAGATCGATAGTGAGATCGATGGTGAGATCGATGGTGAGATCAGTAGTGAGATCGATACTGAAATCGATGTGGTGCCCCGAGGTGTCCCGTGCTGTCCTCCCCAAAATATCGATAATGAGATCGATAATGGGATCGACAGGTGTCCCGTGGTGTCCCGTGGTGTCCAGTTGAGTGAGATCGATAGTGAGGTCGATCTTGAGATCGGTACTGAGATCGATATGGTGCCGCGAGGTGTCCCGAGGTGTCCCGTGGCGTCCCGAAAAGTGAAATCGATAATGCGATCAATAGTGGGATCGACAGGTGTCCCGTGGTGTCCCGTGGTGTCCCGTTGAGCGAGATCGATCATGAGATCGATAATGAGATCGATAATGAGATCGATGTGGTGTCCCGAATTGTCCCGTGGGGTCCCGTGGTGTCCCGTGGTGTGCCGTTGAGAGGGATCGATAGTGATATCGGTAGTGAGACCGATAAGGAGATCGAGAGGTGTCCCGCGGTGTCCCGTGGTGCCCCGTTGAATGAGATCTATAATCAGATCGATCGTGAGATCGACAAGTGTCCTTGGTGTCCCGTGGTGTGCCGTTGAGTGGGATCGATAGAGGGATCGATGATGAGACCGATAGGGAGATCGAGAGGTGTCCCGCGGTGTCCCGTGGTGTCCCGTTGAGTGAGATCTACGGTCAGATCGATCGTGAGATCGACAAGTGTCCTGTGGTGTCCCGTGGTGTCCCGTGGTGTCCCGTTGAGTGAGATCGATGGTGAGATCGTCTCCCCTCTCCCCCCCCCCCCCACAACACCATTATCACCCGAAGGGTGGTCGTATAGGTATATATGCGTTTGTGTATTCCTCTCTTTTCGCGTGCATAATCCTTCCAATACGCCTGTCCTTGCTGACTCAAAGTCTCAGTCCCTCCACTCAGATCAAAGGCAGGCGATAGTGTCACTCCAAGACAAGAAAGTCTCAGCGAGGATATGTCAGATGGTCATCTCATACTCCTGTTACTAGTTACGCGCCGCTGACGAACTCTGTGTGTGAGCATCCGGGTGTGAGAGCGGGTCTGCGGAGGCGACGGGGACGACAACGACGACGACGACAGTGAGGACTTAACAACGCCCTCCTACCCTGGAAACCCTTTCGAGAAGGATGAAGGAAACACAAACGGAAGAGCGAAGGGGGAGGCCATTTGCAGCGTGGATGCGCTCGCTCTCTAGCGTGCTACTCGCGGCGCCAACTGGCACTTGGGGCGCCTGAATGCCACGCTTGCTTTATTTCGTGGTGGCCACCCGTGTGCGCGCCTTAGTGTGCGTGAATCCGAGCGCGGGCGACCTGAAGGCGAGTGAGTCTGAGTGCGAGTGAAGCTGGATATGATTGAGTTAGGGTCTGAGTGTGAGTGCGTTTGAATATGAGCGAGTCTGAGTACGAGCGGGTCTGAATCTGAGAGTTTGACTGCGAGTGAGTCTGGGTACAAGCGAGTGCGAGTGTGAGTGAATAGGAGTGTGAGTCTGAATCTGGATGTGGTGACTATAAGGCTGGGTATGCGTGAGTCTGAGAACAACTGCGTCGGGGTAGGAGTGAGCCTGAGGGCGGGTGAGTCTGACTGTGGGTGGGCCTGTGTGTGGGTCAGACCGAGTCTGGGTGAAACGAGCCTGGGTGTGAACGAGTCTGGGTGTGAGTGAGTCTGGGTATGAATGCGACTGAGTACGAGTGAGTCTGAGTACGGGTGAGCTGACTTGCGACGAATGAGGCTGACTGGGGAAGAGCTGCTGATGAGCAGATCTAAGTGTGAGCTGGTGCGCCTGAGTGAGGAAGAAGAGGCAGAGGTGAGTGAGTGAGTGAGCAGCGAGGAGGTCACACGTCCAAAGACAAGCCTGGGGGGCCGAAACAAGCAAACCGTCCGAGACAAGCCCGCAATCTGGACAGGACGATCGGCATGTCCCCGGCCCTGGCAGCTACCCCCCCTGTGGTGCCCAATCGCTACGCCTGCTATCTCGTGGTGAACACTGGAACACCTGAACAGACACACGGGGCCGAAACAAGCAAACCGTCTGAGACATCCCCCCAATCAAACCGCTTGAAACGTCTCTACAATCTGGGCGACGTTTGGGGTGTCCCACTCCTGGTCGCTCCCCTCAATGGCGCCCAAGTGCCACGCCTGCTGTATCGCACTGTGCATTGCAACACCAGAATAGAACAGCCTCGGGAGCCGAACCAGACATTCCGCCTGAATCATGCCGACAATATGGAAACGACACTTAGAATAATCCCACTCCTGGCGACCCCCCCTTGGGGTGCCCAAGCGGCACGCCTGATGTATCAAGAGAAGATATCCTGGGGGGCCAGAGCAAGCAAACGCCTGAGACACCCCACTCTGGACGCGATGTTTGGAGTGTCCCCACCCCTGGCGGCTTCGCCGTGGAGTGCCGAAAATGCTACGTCTTCTTATTCGCGGCGAGCATTTGAACACCAAAAGAAAAAGCCTGGGGGGCCGAACCAGACACACCGCTCGAGACATCAACACAAGCTGAGCACGACATTTGAGGTGTCCCCGCCCCTTGAGGGTCTCCCTTGGGGTGCCAGTGCCACGCATGCCATATCGCGGTGAGCATTGGACCACCAACAGGAAAACCGCCTGGGGGGGGGGCGGAAACAGGCACGCCGCCTGAGAGACTTTGCGACAATATGGGCGCGACATTTGGAGCGTCCCCACCCCTGGCGGCCCCCGAACGGGGTGCCCAAGTGCCACGCGTGCAATAACGCGGTGAGCGCTGTAAAAACAAAAGAAAAAAGTCTGTGGGCCGGGACGAAGCACACCGACTGAGACATCGCCATACTCTTGACGTGACTTTTGGAGTGTCCCCGCCCCTGGCGGCTGACCCTTGAGGTGCCCAACTGCCACGCCTACAATATAGCGCTGACCACCTGCGTGTGAGCCTTCAATGTAAATGCCTATGAGTGCGAGTGAGTCCGTGCGTGAGTGAGTCAAGGTGCGGGCTGGTCCAAGTACGACGGATTATGCATGCTAATGAGTCTGCGGGTGGGTAAGTCTGAGTGCGAACGAGACCGAATATGAGTTAGTCTGAATGTGAGTGGGTCTGAATGTGAGTGAGTCTGGGTGTGAGTAAGTCTGCGTAGGAGTACGATGAGTATGAGTTTGAGTATGACCGAATCCGAGTACTAGCGAGTCTAAGTATGAGCGGGTCTTAGGACGGGTGAGTCTGAGCGCGATTGAGTCTGACTGAAGAAGAGGAGGGAAGAGGAGAGAAGAAACGTGTGAGGACTCGGAGGCATTCACTTCGGGGACTGATTGTTTACCCCGCCCCCGTCCGGTGCACCTTGTGCTATCTCAATTGGAGTGTTCCTCTTGCGGCTCGCACCCTAATTTTACCAGGGGAAATCACGAAGCACTGCCTGTGATGCCGGCCCCCAATTTAAACAAAAACAGCGGCTCGCGCCAGATACGTCCTTACAATATACTCAAGTTCGCGTTCTCGCGCAGGACATCCTCGCAAAATATCAAGACATCGCGCTCCCGCTCTGGAGCTCCCCGCAAATTATTGATTCGCCGCGCCCTCGACACCGAGGAATCATGCTCTCGCCTTGGACTTAACCACGAATTTCTTCGGTTGAAACTTCCTCGCGATTCGTGCAGGACTGACGCTTGATCGAATCGCCCGCTCGACCGGCCCAAGAGGCCCCGATGACGGCTCCAAGAGAAAGCCCAGACGGGGGACCCGAACGGATATTTCGAGCACTCGGCCCGAAGAAGTCCTCAGGAGGCCCCCAGGGCCCCCCAGAAGGCCTCCAAGAGGCCACAAGAGGCTTTCAACAAGAGGCCCCCAGGAAGCCCCCCACGAGACCCCAACAAGGCTCCCAAGAGGTTACCAAGACGTTCCCAAGAGTCCCCAGAACTGCCCTCCAGAAGCACCCGAGAGCGCTACCGTGACTCCAAAAAATATCCCTGAGGACTCTGACCCACAACCTAGCCGTGTCGGTGAGCAAAACCGGCCAGAATACCCACGACCAGCTCCAAAGCAACTACTTCGCCTCCATGCCTGCTGTCGTCACGAACCCACGGGCCGGCGGAATGAGTGAAGCGATCGAGTACGTTGTGAAGAAGTCTCCGGCGGAAACCACTGTTGTTGTAGTTCGGGGGCCTAGGGCGCAGTCTGAGGAGCAAGATTTCCTTGTCATTTTGTAAGAAACAAAAAGGAACGAGCCCGTGGAGGGGCACTCATTGAAAAACACACACAAAGTGCATCGGGCAGGGGAATCAACAAGAATCGTTCAAATCAGAATTCAACGGCTCGCGCATGATACGTCTTCACAATTTTTCGCAATCACCCTCTCGCGCTGGACTTCATCACAATTTAATCAGAAACCCAGCTCTCGCGGGGGACTGCCTCGCAATTTATTGAAACGCCGCGCCCTCGAAACTCAGGAACCACGCTCTCGCTCTGGACACTCTGGGATCACGCTATAGCTCGAGACTTCCTCGCGATTCCTGCAGGATTGACGCTTCATCGACCCGCCCGCTCGACCCGGCTGTCAGAAGACCGCCCGCCTGACCCGCCCGTCAGGGTCCGACCGCCCGACCCGCCCGTCTGGTTCGGCCGTTTGTTTTCCTGCTCCAGCCCCCCTCATGTCTATCTCTCTCGTGCTCCATCCTTCCCCCTCCCCCGTGCCTCTCCGTACCATCTCAAAGGCTTCGGCAAACTTGCGTGGCAGGTAAGAAAGATATCCACCCTAGGGGGATATCATCGAAGACGAAGAGGGCGGGTATCGAGGGCTTGGGATCTACATGCTGGATGGCATGCGAGCAGGTGGGAGCGACCAGTCTTAAACTGATCGGTGTCGTTCGTGCTGTTGAGGTCAACTGCCTAAGGACTGGCCCAACACTGGCAGCACCTCGCGCTGATCAAGTTTAGAAGCCGAGGAAGAACAACATGATGTCTTCATCTAAGGAATTTTGGATTCCGCTGGCTTGCAAACTACATGTTGAACACGAGCTTCCTTGCAGCTTGTCACCAACCTTGTAGCTTGGCGTCCAGGTGCTCCACAAGACTTGCCATCGCGCCTCGTCGTAGCTTGACACCGTTCCCTTCCAGTCACGGCTTGCTTTGCAACACCAGCTTAGGGAAAGAACCCTCCTCGCTCCACGGGCCAAAAACCTTGCAAATCAATGCCGGTCCGAAGCATTGCGCACGCTCTGACGGGGAAAGAGGAGGAGGAAGAAGAGGAGGAGAAGGAGGACGCGGAGGAGGCGGCGGAAGAGGAGGAGAACCATCACTGCAAGACCTGGAATGTGGAACGATCTGCCTGTCGAGCCACGTGGCCCGCGAGCCTGGCGGCAATCCACCGAAATCTGGGAAAACCATTCTCGACTTCCGGACTTCCTTTTCGAACGCCTCTCCGTACCCCGGTAGACCACACACACCGAAGCCTTGGCAGATTGGAGGAGAAAGGAAATGACGATGACGAGAACGAGGACGACGAGTACGACGAGGAAGAAAACTGGTAAGCTCGGGCTCTCCCTCTCTCTCTCACTCTCTACATCTGTACATTGAATATGTGCCCATATTTCCTGTATGTAGACGTATATATAATAAGAGATGGCCTGTCCCACGATCTCTTCTATGTACATCGGTAAACACATATTCAGAATCCTGCTTGTGAATGTCTGGAAGACGGCCGAATCGCTATGTACGTGCGTGCCCTCCCCCCATCTCCAAGCTCACAACTCCGAGTGGCTCCACGCCGAACGCCTCCGTCACCCACCTGTGACACGCGCGGACATCATCACGGACTGGGACGGCGAAGTCTCCGTGGGCCAGATGCCATGCTGCGAATCTATTTTCGGAATCACTCATGCTCGCGTTGACTTCTAGCTCGATCCCTTGGCCGAATGATATCTGGTATGTTCTAGGAGGTTCAACAAGACAACGCCCGCTTGGACTTGAGCTACGGCTAGATTGGGCACCCTGTTCTGGAGATTTGCAGGGTGATTCCGACCCCTCGGTCAGACCTGCCAAACCTTGCAGATCAGAACGCCTCCAAGGGGATCTACACCCCAGAAGCAATCCATGTCTCCCCTAGCCGTAGTGCTCGCTGCATGTCAGATGACGAACGCACCAGCAGTACTCACAGCAACACGACCACGGAACGCAAGCATAAAACCTGAACTGCGATGTGGTGCTTAAACTCGCCAGCTTCCGGCGGACAACTTGCCCTCGTTGTACTGTGGTCGCCCGTCGCCGGCCTTCCGCCGAGGAAGAGATGTCAACCGATCGATCCCTCGAGGGCGAGTGCGTTCGTGGAACTCATCCTACAATAGGCGAGTGCGGCCCTGATTTGCCGCCAGACTGCTTGCGCTGCACCAACTTAGGCGGCTACCGCCTCTTTCAGCTTCGCGCAAGAGAGACTCTGGGTAAGAGTGACCTTTGGTGCGCGGCTTTTGGGGGACCGCGGGGTGACAAACACAAACGCGCAAAACGCTACTACCGCATCGCGTTCGGCGATCGGGGGAGCCCAATGAGCCCGCACCAAAGACCACTCCGGCGAAAGGTACGTGTAGTCGATTATTCCGCTTCGGTTCTTGCATGTTCGCCTGCCGTGCTCCACCACGACGCTTCGCGCGCGGTCGCCGACGCACACATGCGCGTGTGTCTGTGTGTGTGTGCCCGAACTGGTGTCGGGCGTTGGCTGAACTGGGTTTAGTGGGAGCTGGTTTAAAAACGTGTACTGGGGGACGCCCACCCCGCCTCGTTCCACTAACCAGAACTGCCGTCACCCGAAAAAACACCTGCTATGCCAGACCTGGTTTAGTGATTTTGGCAAATTTAGGAGCTCCGGGGCCCTACTACTGACCGGGTCCCCTTACCTGGGGTCCTGGTTATACCCGATGGTGGGCAGCGGGGCATCTCCTCCATGCGCCGGCTTCCATGCGCCGGCTTCGCCTGTCCACCTTGTACAGTCGGACCTGAGACATGATAACATCCTTCAAAAACACAAGACCCTCCGCTGGCCAAAATGGAGAGCATTCGACGATACCCTCCCCCTGGGTGCACAAGAACATCCAACAAGCACGAAGAATATGAGGGCACCCTCCCCGAACCGATCTCGATCTTATGACTTGGTCCGACGGTACGCCGACTTGCCTAGCGCAGTCAACCGCCCGCAGCGCGCACGGACGCCGACGAACACACACACACACACACACACGTGTGGGCGTGCCCCAATTGGGCTGACTGGCAGCGGCGCTTCTCCTCCTTCTCCTGCACGTCCGCCCTCGCCCTCGCCCTCGCCCTCGCCCTCCTCCTCCTCCTCCTCCTCCTCCTCCTCCTCCTCCTCAGTATACCCTTGTGCGCCGACTTGCCTTGCGCAGCCGACCGCCCGCAACGCCTGGCAGAAGGGACGCTCGAGCTTCTCCCGCTGTGGCTCTCGCGGTGGGGGCGCCACTCGGCCGCCGGAGCCCAGGGTTCGGGCCCAAGTCCCAGTGCACGCGCGGCCCCCCGAGCCCGCTCCTGGGCTTCGTCACGCCATGGGTGCACGCCGGCGGCACGGGTCTGACATGGCTAGATCTAGCCGCTCCATTCGCGGGGATAGTGCGCATCGTTTCACCGATCCCCATCCCCAGCGGCGTGACCCGGGCCCCACTGGCCGATATTTACCCCCCTGGATGGGGGTATGGGTCGTTCCCTTCGGGTTTCGAGGGGTGTATCCCCAACTGGGGAGGTACTTCGGAAGGGGTCTCGAAGGGGATGAGGATGGGGATTGGGATTGGGATGGGGATCGGTTAAACAATACCGAGAATAGGGCGAGAGGGGATCAAGGCGAAAGTGTGTGTGTGTGTAGTTTTCCATACGTTCATGGCGGCTCCACCAGAGTCGGATCTGCGGCGGGGGATCGGGACATGTGGTGATCGTCCCCTGCCTCGCGCTTGCCCGCGCCGCCGATGCTGCGTTTCGTCACGCAGCGGGTGCACGCTGGCGGCACCGATCTGATATAGTGAGATCTAGCCGTTCTGTCTCGCCCCGCGTGCTCACGGCTCAAATTCGGATGTGACCTTCCGAAATCCTTTTCGCGCCCGAGTGACATTCTCATCTTCGGCCTGGAACTATTTTTTCGCTGCGCGTTCTTATTTGGATCGCGACTGGTGCCACGTCTCTTGTGGGGCTAACAATGTGCCAAATCCGCTCTAAGGGGCAGGAAAAGCACGGGCTCCCTACACCCATGCTGGGGACATCAGAGGCTCAAACACGCTGTGACTTGAAACTCCTCCTGTCCATCTCCCATCTCTCGTGCGACGAGTAGGACGGGGTGCTGAATTCGGGCATTCCCCCAGAGCCACGCACACACGACCTCACGGTAAAGCAGAGACGCCAGTAGGACATGAGCTCACGGTGGGGAAACCGACACCACAAGGCGTGACCACCCTAGGTTCTTCTCGTCGAAGTTGGCAGTCACCTCTGCAATGAAGATAATACGGAGGCATTCGTCATGACACAATGCGGATCTCAAAACTTGAACAATGATACGGCGCCAGAACAAATACTATTGTGAATGACGCCTTGTAGGAACAATTACCAGAACAAAGTTCTCGTAATTAACCACTGCACCCTGGTACAACTAAGGGACCTGGAGGGCCCGGACCGCATCTTTGGCAGAATTGCTGGGCGCTCCTTGGCGCTTCTGGCGTTTTTCGCGTGGGGCCTGCGGGAAGCCAAACCCGCACAAGCCACCTCCAACATCCCCACATCGCCTTGCAATTAACGGTGAAAAAGTCCCAGGCCTTCTCGGAAGCCCCACGGAGACCGTCTTGGGGCTCGGTGTGGAGCCTTTTGGGCCCGCTTGGAGCCAGCCCAACAGGCCATCAATCATGTATGCTACCATAAGCACTTCTGAGGATTCTGCCTATTCGGCATCTTTTTTGTCAGAGAGGCCAACCAGGCACGAGGCATCCAAGATGCGACCGAGGCCCGGTGGCGGAGAGGCCGAACGCCAACAGAACGCCGCCCCCGCAGCCTGCACAGGGGTGCTCGCGTGCTGGGCTTGATAGCTCTTCTTGGTTCTTCAGAATGCTCCCGGTGGGCTCTGGCCCGATGCGCCAATCACCCAGAAGAATTGGTTTCCGACCAGACTCTGCACAATCCCCGCCTCCACCACTGCTAAGGTGGCCCCAGATGGTCTCTACGACGGCCCCCAACGGCCCAAGAAGGTCCAAGATGGTCTTCAAGACGCTTCCCAGACAGCCACGATGGCCCGAAGAGAGCCCAAGACGCAGTCCGGGGGATCTCGGGACGCGCTGGGGGACTTCGGGGTCGGCAAATGGGGCAAAAACAACCTGAGCAGCCAATAGTTTCCATGATTCTCAGGTACTCACTTTTTCAATCTTCCGAGCATCCAAGACAACCCCGTAGGTCCCCAAGACCGGCCCACGACGGCCCGAACGGGTCCCCAAAGGACTCCTCTTGTATCAGCTAAGAGGTCCTCTTGGCCGTCTTGGAGGCGGGCGTTGTGCAGATTTCTGGTTGGCTTTCGTGACTGTGCCGGCCCAAGAGCACCCCAAGACGCCAGAGAGGGCCCCAAGATGGCCCAAGAAGGCCACATAATACCCCCAAGTAAGCCCAAAGGGGCCCAGAAAGAACCGCAACATGCCCTCCACAAGGCCAGGGAGTGGCGGTGACTCGCCGCGGGTGCCTTCCATACCGCGAGAGGGCGCCCCTGCGCGGTGAACGTGCGCATGGGCGCATCCGGGCTCGCTCGGTCATGGGCGTTCGTCTGTGACGCCAGCTCGCAAGATGCGCTGTCGCTGGTGCCGCACATGCGGAGGACAACCGGGTAGTGAGCTGTGCGAATGCAGTCGAAGCATGGCCACCGGAACGCGGGACAAGAATAAGAGCCAATTCGCCGGCGGAACCACACCACGTGGACGAATAGTCAAGACGAGGGAGGTACTTCAAGGTGGAGGGCCCAGGCGTGAAGACCAGGAGGGCGCCCTTGCCCCCCTCGAGGCTTCGGCGTACCCCTCGTGCCAACTGTACAAGCAGAGAGTGAGAGAGAAAGAGAAAGAGAGAGAGAGAGAGAGATAGAGAGAGAGAGAGAACAGCCAAACAAGAAGGGAGAGAAAGATACAGAGAGAGAGAGAGAGAAACAACAAAGAGAGAGGGAGAGAGGGGAAACGGGAAAGGCGCGGCAAGAGTGCAGCAGAGCAGAATGGAGCGAAAACATTGAACATCAAAGAACAGTGGAGATCCAGATCTGCGATCGTGTACACGGCTGAGACAATGACAGTCGACATAATTGGCCCCAACTCCACCTCCTCTTGGTGCTCTCCTGATCTTCTCCCTCCTGGTCTCCTGTCCCACCTCCACGCCAACCAGCGCTCCACCAAACAAGGCAGGAGAACTCATGCAGCGCTGCGCCCAGATTTATTAATTTGGTTCAGGGGCCGCACTAGCGCCTCATCTCCCCCCCCCTTCACCAACGCGCCCCTTACTCGGCATATCATGATGCCGCAGCTAAGGGACTGCATGCTCAGGGAGCGCACTCGGGCAAACTAGCGTCGTGGGCACACGAGAGTATGACATCGCGCGCACGCCTTGGCTTTGAGCTGGTTGTCCTGCGTAAGAGATGCTCCTCTCGTCTCAAAACCTCTTTCACCCTCCTTGATGTCCCCTGCCTTCTTCCTCATTCTCCTCCTCATCGTCCTCCTCTGGCTTCTGGCCCTCATATTCCGCCTTCTCTTCCTACAGATGACGAAAGAACCACCATCACTGTAAACACCCGATAAAAAGGAACCGTGCAGTAAATGAACGTAAGAGCGGATTCGAACAGGGCAGGACTGTTCAGTAGACGTCCGCGACGGTTTAGTAAGCTCTCTTGGTCGAAATCCCACCCGCCCGTTTAAGACTCACCATCATCTCCTTCTCATTATCATCGTCATCCTCCGTCTTGAGCCTGCGCGTCCTGGAAGGAAAAGGGATGACACCGCGCTCACCCTCATTGGACGCCTCCCTCCAGTGATCCTCCCAGCTCCGCCACCTGCAACCTGCTGACGTCTCAGTCGTCCTGAGGGTGAGAAGCGTAGGCGGATCGCCGCCCCGGAAGTACAGTCAAAACGTGTTTTAAGGACGAATGGTAAGGACGCAACACCCTTGGAGGCCGAAGTTGGGATTTTGTGGGCTGCGGGCGACCAGTGAAAACGGCAAATGATGGGCCGCAGAGGCAGGGACACAAGGGTACCCTAGATGAGGGCGCGCGTCCTTACTATGCGCGTTGACTGTGACAGGAGAACGGGCGGGCCAGGCATCGGAGGTCCTCGCGGCGTTCTGGGGCTGTGGCACGCACCAGGAAGGGGCTTCCGACCCGCCTCGCACAACCCGCATGCCGCGGCAGCCAGGCCCAGGGTGCGCCGGTGTTCCCTGGGTATCCCGCCTCACGCTCTCGAGTTAGAACCGCTCGAAGCCAAAGACAATAGTTTCCCACCATCCTGTGGTATTGGGACCTCGTTTCGAAACCACAGCGCCCCGCGCTCACGCCTCCTACTACTCCTCCTCCTCCTCCTTCCTCCTCCATCCTCCCGCCTCTGCCCTCCGCATGTCCTCATCGTGGTCACACCTCACACACGTCGTGGCCCGATAGGGAGCGCCACCGCAATAATCACATGGCAGGGGTCACATGCCCCCCCCCCCCGCCCATTTTGGCACGCCCCTTGCACGCTTCACGGCTCCATTGGCTACTCCACAGAGAGGGCCGCAGTGGCAGGAATCACATGCGCCCCCATGCCCATTTTGGGATGCTCCCCGCACGCTTCGCGGCCCCATTAGAAGCTCCACCGAAGGCAGCCATGGCAGGACACAGATGCGCCCCCTCGTCCTGATACGCCCTTCACACGCGTCGCTGCCCCATAGGGAGCCCCACAGAAAGCACGCCAATTTTGGCGGGACCCTCACACGCTCGGCGGCCCCATAGGGAGCCCCACATCGGGCCACAACGGCAGAGATCACATGCGCCACCCCCGCCCATTTTGGCACGTCCTTCGCTCGTTTCGCGGCCCCATATGGAGCCCCACAGGAGGCCGCAGAGGCAGGAATTACGTGCGCCCTCCCCGCCCACTTTGGCAAGCCCCTCACACGGTTCGCGGGCCCATGGGAGCTCCACAAAGGGCCACAGTGGCAAGAATCACCCGCCCATTTTGGCACGCCCATTACACATATCGCGGCCCCAAGGAACTCCACTAAAGGCCGCAGCGACAGGAATCGCATGCACCCCGACGCCCATGTCCCCCCCCCCTGCCCCCCCATCCTCTTTTCTCACATGCCCCGCGATGCTCGCAGCTGCATATGGTTGGGCCCTTCGCCAAGCTATTTGTTCTTTTCGGACCCCAAAGCTCCCGTCTGAACCCAAACGAAATCACGATGGACCCATTCGGCGGCCTAGCGGGCTTCTTCCTTCGAACAACTTTGAACTGACCCCGTTCGGATGCCCAACTGGCGGCCGCATGGGCTCAGACGCAGAACGGGCTTTGAAGGAACCGCGGGGTGGGGCTTCTGCAGGCCAGGGGTCAGCATCTTCGGGGCCCGAGACCAGCGAGAATCTCCCAGGGCCCTTCCCACCAGCAAACTGGCATCTTAGCATTCCCTGAGTATCCCACCACGCGTTCTCGCTTGGGTATCGCCCGAAGCCTAAGACGACAGGCTTTACTGTCCGATCGTCGAAGGCATAGCAATGAGGCGGCGGCACCTTGGTCAGGTGGTCGCTGAGCAATGCGCGCGACACGGCCTCCGGCAAGAACCTCTTCGAGCGATGGGTGCGCAGGATGAGCGCGGTGTCCTCCACAGGTCAAGACGAGAAAGGGCATCAGGAGGAGGAGGAGGAGGAGGAGGAGGAGGAGGGAAGCAAAGGGAAAGAGAGGAGGATATCCATGTGCTCCAGTTGAGACGGTATGAGGAAGCCTCGGACGCGGAATCCATCCAGCGAGGTCCCACGGTCCACGCAAGGTTTGCAAACGACCTTGCTGTGACGGCTCTGGAAGACAAGCCGCCAGGGCTGGAGGAAGCTAAGGGGGCGTGAGAAGACTCCTCCCTGGCAAGCGCTTCCGTGTTGTTCGTCAGCTGTTTTACACCTTCTGCAAACCAGCCTAACCGAGGTGATGTATCTTCTCCATCGTCTCCTAACTCAGGGGGTTATGCGGGAGGATCTTGTGCATGAGATGTCCCTTCGTGTTAACCACCTACGGAGCGCGGCAAGCGCTTCACAAACAGTTTCGCCGATTCGCCGATCACCTCTTTTGAACTGCAAACATAGCTTGGACCACACGTCCGCAGCGGCGGGCGGACGGGTGATAACATGACGCAAGCACGAGATAACAAGTTCGACTCTCCGCCTCTCGCCAGGGTGAGCGGCGTAGGAGCTTGGGAGAAGGAGAAGAAGAGTGAGGCGAAAGAAGAAGGATGATGGAAGGGGGAGAAGCCACGAGGAAAGGAGGGACAAGAGAGCTGGAGGGATGGGAACGGTGAGGAGAAAGGAAAAGGGAGAAGGAGGAGGCGGAGGAGGAAGAGAGAGACCCGACGCGGGCGAATAATTAGGAGGGCGGAGAAGGGGGAAAGGAGCTTCTCGTACTTCCTATCGCCAATTGCCAATGTTACGGATGATGCACCACACATAAATGGACGCGGAGGGGGGGCTATTCCCCAGCCTTGATCCCAAAATCAGGGGAGGCAGCTACGGCTTGTCTGTGCACTTTCTTTCATCATACCGATTGCGGGCATCATCTTCATCAAGTTAGCAGAAGCATGCGATGACGCTCGCGCAATCCAAACTGAAAGCTCTGTCACGCAACGAGTCCACGGGCGCCAGCTCAGGAGCTCCAAGCAAAGCCTCTAGGCAAGGCTTTCTACTACTTGAGGTTGTGCACCACGAGGGGCTTGTAGCAAATTTGAGAGATTGTGGAGAGGAAAGACGGTGAGGGAACGGAAGGGGAAGGCCTCCTGTTTCTGCCATTGCTGTTCCTCCACTGGCAGCGTGTAGCTATTCCGTACAACCATCCAGACCTGCCTGCAAGCTCTTGTGCCTCAAACGCCGTAGCCCCTTCGAACACCCGCCGTCTCCCTCCCCTCCCATGATGCGTCTGCTTCCCCACACCCTATCTTGGCATGCAACAAACGGGTCCTGAGAGAAACGGGTCCAGGATCCCAGGCCATTTACCCAGAACCACATTTTCGTCCTGAGTCTACTTGACGGTCTTGATGCCCGTTGAGGGCCACGGGGCACTACACACTGCGCGAATCATCAAGACCTTCTTCCCTCAGGAACCCTGTCTTTCTGAGCGATGAGCCAACCCTAATGCTCTTGAGATTGCCGCCGGACTGCCACACCTGCATAACCTCGCTTGTGCCACCCGCGTCTTGGGGAGGATAGGGAGGGGAGCGGGAAGGGAGAGGCGGGGAGGCAGAGGGGGGACAGACAAGCTTGGTGCGCTCGCGCCTCATCTGACGTCCTTCCCCTCCCTCCCATCCCTTCCCATGGGGCTGACCCTTCCTTATCCGAGGACGCGTATCATAGCCGATCTGCGCCACCACAGAAAAAAAACACTTCGTGGTATTCGGAATCGGAAACAAGGGAGCTGCGTGCACAGGAGGTGGCGGGTGAGCAGGATGATGAGCGGGAGGGAAAGAATGAGGACGAGCAGCAGCAGCAGCAGCAGCAGCAGCAGCAGCAAGAACTACAGCAGCAGGACTGGGAAGAAAAGGGGGACCCGGGGAAGGCGGAAAAGGGAAAATGAGGGGGCGGCCACAATGAAGAAAGACTCGGAGTCAGACAAGTGGACCTGGATGGGGCAAAACGAGCAGCAGCAGCAGAAGCGGGAGCAACAGGAGGACCAGGGGAAGCAGGAGGAAAGGAAATGAGGGGGGGGACGAGAATGAAGCTAGGGTAGGATCCAGTAAGTGGCCCACGCTGCGGCGAGAGTGTCATTCTGAACGACGGGATCAAAGCGCCCGTCCGAAAATGAGGCCCCATTCACCC